CCGTAGGTCAGCAGCAGTCGAGCACAATATTGCTGTACGCTGCACAAGCATAGTCCATACGCCAGCGACAAGCCGCGTGCAACTGCTAACTCGCTGCCCTTCGTGCCTTTCATCAGCTGCACTCATGCAGGCTCACCAGTGGGAACAAGTAATTTAGTGGCGTCGGCTAGTTCGACTCTTGTCCAATGAGGCTGTCCGCGGCCCCGCAGCATCAACTCTAAACCATTGCATCCGTTCATCTGTACCGGCTAGCGGCAGCGAAATGCGGATGAAGAGAAAAGCAGCCCCGCAGCATGAATTCTAGACCATTGCATCGTTGCAATCGACAAGACGTTCATCACTCGCTCATTCACGGGACGTTCAACCGAGCCGAACATATTGAATATACGATTCAATCACTTGCAACCAGTTGACTCCACTAGTTGGACTCAAATCATTTGCACCCGGCTTATTTTCTTAGCTACCAGTAGTCAAGTGTGGGAGGCCCGAAATATCAATTCGTCGTCCCGCTCTGCGTAGTGGCCCACAATTCCAGCGGGTAGTTGATTTCTCCGCAAGCCAGGAACTGAATCTTGACCTGGCAAACGTCATAGTCCAGGGACTCAGGCGTGCACCGTTAGACAGACACAAACTTGTAGCCTGACGTCAGAACCTCATTCTAATGGCGGCCGCCCGAGGCATTTGCCCCGTTGATCGTTTGTGCAATCAGTGGGACCGAGATGCACAGCGACGCCAATCTGGCGGCCCAGCACCTACGGTTGTTGTTCCTAAGCGTTACCCTAATTCGACAGATCCGGTCCTGTGACCTTGCCCAGTGATCTGTCACTGCAGAATTTGATATCAAGAGCTAGAGGCAGATCACTCGACCGTTGAGAGTAGATTGTCTATTCCATACGTTTATCTCATGTTTTCCTAGTAGACATTGATTCGGTGTCCATGTATCCAGTAATCGTAAATGACCAATAAATGCGAACAACACACAATCACTCCACACTGACACATTTAACTATCCTCCCAATACCTGCCACTGTGTAAAATGCTCGGAACAAGGTGTTGAAAACAGATTCAGCCCTCAATAAAGCATTCATAACAGTTGAGAATTCGAGAAAGCAGTCGCCTCGACCATACCATATCAAATCATTGGGCTTTTCAGCCTTCTTTCCTAAGTTTATCGATAATACAGGGTTGACAACAACTAGTAAATTTCATGATTCGGCAACAAGTTTCGCTGCTGATCAGGGTACGTCGCAAACATAACTGGTCGGGAGAGACAATATTTGCAACTGCAATGGTCAATCAGGTCACATTTTAGTGCTGGCTCTTCTCTGAGGAAAGTCGGGGTAACTCACATCATCCACGGCAAGGAGATCCCGGGTGCTAACATGGCAGGCATGGGCAAAAGCTGTGGTCCCGTACTTGGAACGACGCCGACCATTTCAGTGCCGTGAGTACCGAAAGACTTCCTCATCCCATACTGCGAGTCGTAAGAGGACGTCAAGCGCGGTACCTGAAGCGCTCCCGATTCAGCCGTGGAGTATGCTGTTGGAAACTTGCAGCCATTGTAGATTGGTGGACTATAATAGTAGTCTTCACCAGGGTAGTGTCCTGGTGCCAGGCTGTGACCCGTTTGCCCGTCCGGGTTGTCATACGTGTGGGGTGGGCCGGAAGAGGATGCGCCCGTTCTGGCTGTACCCTTGCCGTTTGGGAATGGGGGCGGGCATGGCCGGGAGTCTGCCGCTCGATCACCACGGGATGCCTTGTAGCTCTTGCTAGGAGGGTGGCTGCTATCTGCGCGGGGATTGATCGCTCTCGTCCGTTCTGTAGAAATGAACTCTTCATTTTTCATGGTCTTGGGTGGCTTTGAAGGCTTGGTAAAGTGCCTCAGAGCAACCCCCTCATTTCCCTGCCTCTGTCTCCGGAGTCGTATAGCTATGACAAGCATGCTAATCAGCTCATATGCCTTGGAATATTTTGGAGCTGTCATACCACGCTGCTTCCGCCCGAGCTTCTTCGGTGGTTTCTCGGTTGACGTGCTTTCGCGATAAAAGGTCTGCGTTTGATTCTGGAAGATATCGGGCCTTACCATAGATTCACGGGTGAGTCGCGGTTGAGCTTCGGAGACATATGACTCCACGTCGGAAGGATCGGTGGATGAACGCATTTCGATCAAGAATGTAAGACTGATTGGTAAGTCTGAGACGCTATCGCTTTACGGCTGGATCACGAATCTGGAAGCCGATTATCCCACTCCAGACTTGAGACAGACAAGAGGCAGGCGTACGGAGTGGTCTGGTATTTATGCCCAGGATTCGGACACGGTTGAAGCGATAGCCGAAGATGATGTAAGCCATGTTTGCTCAAGCATGGATAATCAAACTATTGAATTATTGGACTTGAATTCGGGCTTGGAAATGGTAAGGAGAACGAAAGAGCACAAGAACGGAACCGAACTCCGGATAGGCGTAGGCATCCACACTAATTGAGCCACCAAGTCTACTCCGCCACGCTAGGCCGAACTGAAACACATCACTGCGAATCACCAGAGAATTATTTGGGATAGCGGACTATTCAACAGATAAGCCAATCATGCCTGTAAATGCCACGGTGCATTTAGAGCGTGATTTGCATCATATTATCATTAGCTCTATTCTTTGCCATGAGCTGCCATGGACTAAATAGCAAATGTGGTCTGTGAAGATTTGACCATTGTGCACTAACAATTCAATAGGCAAAAATGCAAAATGGTTCGAAATGTTCGAGCCGATCACATTATAGGACATGGTTCAATCCCGACCGTTGGATTTTGAATGCCGTCCATGTTGGATGCTTCTTTTTTATCTTCTGGAAAAGATTGTTCCACTGATGCTGAAATTGGTCCATCCCGAGACAGTATCGCCCAAGGGTGAGGACTAGGTTCGGAATGAACATACTCTTGCTTCAAAGACTTAGTTGTTTTGAATTTCCATTCTTCACGGCAAGGTGCGAGCTCAGGCGAATCGGGATACGTGTATTGTGGATAAGACATTGGAAAATGCGGTGCTGCAGCGACCGCCAACCGACTCGGATCTGGCTCAGAGAACGGAGAATCCAGACTCCTCAGGAAATAACCTGGCTGTGACTCGCTGCATCGGTTGCTGATGCCACTTGCACCGGAATCGGACGACTGCAGGAGTCTCGGTCCATCAAATTCTGCGTCAGACATAGGAACGACAGATACAGGGGTCTTGTCAGACATTATCCGGTCTTGGGCAACTTGTTCCTCAAGATGCTTCAAGCGTCGTTTTATCTTCAGACCTATGGCTAGGTCAGATTGATAGGCTCCTCCTGAGTTCTTTGCCAGCATAACGTACGATGTGTTCGCTGAGCAATGCGGTTCTGAATGCGTCGCCGTGCCGCAAGATCGGAAATCTGAGTCCAATCCTCGGTAGTACACGCATGCGAGTTAGAGCGTACGCTGATACAATCGCACCTTGAAGTGCTGGAGTTGGGCCCTTCAAAAGGAATGGAATATGAGGCCTGATACATGTCCGAGACAAAAATAAGGGATATCGATACTAAGACACAAGGGTGATGTGAAAGTCTGAGGTGTAAGGGAAGAGGGAATCAGGAAGTCCCGAACCATAGATAGAGCCTGAAAGCCATCACTGGGTACACTTATCATTTTGTACATTACCCTGAAGCTGAGCCTCGCGTACTGATTGTCAAGAAAGGCTGGAAGTATATTCGCCCCCGTGCGTTCAACTCCCGTTGAACAGCTGTTCGGCCTTTATATGCCCGAACTAACAAAAGTCCATGGACTGGGCGAAGCGGCCTCATCGAGGCGGATGTGTTCAACTGTGAAGATTATGGCTACATGCTCATAGTGAATAAAGATTTTTAAAGTTACCACGTCGACTGTCCTGGTCTGACTGTCCGTTGTAGCATTGCAACACGTGCCAACGAAAGCCTCGCTTGCCTAGACACCATCCTTAACCGCATTCAATAGTACAACAGAATTTCGCGCTGGAAGTTTGGTATACAAAGCCGGATGGCATAAGTCAATCTCGTCAGCGAATTCAGGGACATACTTAGCAAAGAGCATTCGATTCGGATACACGACAATAAATAATATACGGTAAAACAGGGGGTCGACCAACTACCCATCTTCGCCGAGGTTACTTCGCAATAAGCCTTTTATAGATACTCTCTGCTTTATTGTGCCCGGTTTGCTCAATTATAGGTTAGGAGGATTCAAAAGAGCAAGCTGTAAAGGCATCTTGTTTTCGCTATCTACTACGGCTAACCAGCAGTTTCTAACTCTGAGGACTGCACGTCTTCAGCACGGTCACCGGCCGCGTTCAAATCACTTAAGCAGGCGGCGACCCATGTACAGTCAGTCTTGTCTATCTGCACTGTTCTCAGAGACGTTAATTGCTGTAAGCGTAATAGAAGGGCATGTGGGAGGTTCTGGTGACTACTGAAGCTGACTGTGACACAAACAGCACTCAGCGCCTGTAATACCATTGGCCACGTCGACAAATGCTGCAGATCCGTGGGCTGCATTCGCACACGGACGTGAACACCAGCTGGGAGCTCCACGCTTTCAAGAAGGGCAACTGCGGTGCTCGAATCGTAAATGCGTAAACTTTGAAGGTTCGGCCAATGCGGTTGATATCTCTGCCTCCGAGCCACAAAATCACAGTTCGTGATGACCAACTCTTCGAGGTGGCAGCCGAGGGCTGGGCAAAGCGACTGCCAGTCGATGTCAGTAGAGAAGGTTATCTCCACTCGCCGAAGATCGAATGCGCTACCACTACACACAATGCTTTCCTGTCGAGCGCCTGAAATGGACAGAGAAGTCAGAGATGGGAGTCGATCGAACTGTAGCTCTGCGCACGGTCCCAAGCCAGCTTGTGGGCAATCGAGACAATAGCAGCAGAAATCTAAGCACAGCCTTTCCAAAGCCGGAAGCGACGGAACCACGAACAGCCCGGGCTCGTGCTCAATGCAAGAAAGACGCAGGCATCGAAGGTGTACAAAGGTCACCTGGAGCTGCCAAATACTTGGAGACATAAAGTCCACGCTCAATGTGCCTACAGGCTGGAACGACAGTTGCCAAAGCAGTTTTTGGAGGCTAGTCAGCGCCGGCGGGTAGCTGATGCTACATGTGTGTCAGCCAAAGCTTTCGGTGGACTGCCCCAGACAGTTCATGAGGATCGACAACTTGCCTCACGGTCTGAAGACGGTGCATATCCCCCAAGAAACCCAAGAATTTGTCCGGGAGGACTGCTTCGTCACCCCAGATATCCAGGGTCCGCACATGGTCTGACCAACGGCTCAATGTTTGTACTAGATCGCTCCTTGGAGGTCGAAGAAATCGTCCGTTCAGCATAAATGGAGTCGATCCATCGAATCGAATGGTGACTTTGCGAAAAAGCCAGCGCGCGGCGCAAACACGCAGGTGCTGGCAGCAGTCGTAGACACTCCAAAGATCGCGAGTAGTCAACTAAAGGTCCGTCAGCATGAATAAAGCTTGAATCCAATTTAGCGGCTGGGTGTAAAAATACTTGTTTTGTGATCAGGTCAAGGATCTCGAGAGGAAGTGCGAGCAGCGTTGGTGGAGCGGATGGCGACCCGAGCATAGGGCCATCGTAAAGTGTAAACATTGCTTAAAAAGTCTCTTTCTGTGAGGGACTAGGCTACCCTCTCAAATTCCCAGTCCGGAGATTCTGACCCGGGATCAAAGGGCCCAGAAAGGCATATATGGCGACATGGATCGGCGGTGATACACAATGTAATACAAGAACCTGGATTTGACCGGAATCGTCGGAAAAGAAACGCATACTGCGCAGTTCGCCGTTCAACCAGCAGCAGAAAGATAGGGGAATCTCAATCTGATGGCCTACAGTATTGCTGGTAATAGCATTGAACATTGCCAACGATTAATTGAGAAAATGTGCCTTACGTTGTTTTTAGTCCTGATCTTTCCGCAGATGAATACCAACCTACTTATAAGATTGGATGCAGCACTGCAAATTCATGCCCTAAAACATTCAAGCAAATGCGATTTCAGACACCATGAGTCTGATGATTCCTGCACCAGCGAAGTAGCCATCACGCGCGACGCTCAACCAGCAGGGCATATCGGACAGAGCTTACACCTTCAATGACTACATCAACCCATTACCAGACGTACCACAAACAACTATTGTTAGAAAGGCAACTCGTCGCGATCCCCTTCCACAAGCACACTCAATGGAACTATTTGGGATATCAGGGTCCTCCTCAGATCCCATCGGCTATCCAATGGAACAGAACACAAGCCCGGCAAGGTCACGTCCTTGTGCCGCTTCGCCCGCTTCCAAGCGTCGAAGAACATGCTATGCCGATGACTTCGCCTCCCAAGCATCATATTTTGACGGAAGATATCGTCCTCCATCGCCTCCCTACCAGGATGCAACTCTTCATCCGGAGCATGCTTTGATATCGCCACTTGACTCGGCTGCGCTTTCGGTGGCGCTGCCCGCGCTCACGCAGAACCGGGAAGCAAGAGATTTAAGCCTACGGCTAGCGGAAAATGTCGTCAGCGATCCTGCAGTTCTCTTTTCAGCGGCAAGCGAGCCCATCAACACAGGTCATTCCCGTACATCTTGGCAGCCAGATTGTCTCAGCCCGCATCGAACTGAGCCGGTCCCTGGGGACTGGCTTTCCCTTCCGCCCCATGGTGGCATCTCCGATCTGGGACCCTTATCAAACGCAGATACTATTTATAATTGCACTCTTCTGGATCCTTTGCTGTTCGTTTGCGACAACGATGACCAAGGTCGGCCTGATCTTTCCAACGACGGTGTATATAACGCACCGAATTATGAGGCTGACCGCCCCTTCTTTGTCGAACCAACCATGATTGAAGAGGGCCCCCGGCAAGTACCTATCTTACCGCCAGAGGAGACGTCTCCGCTGTCTTTAGCTGCCAATTCCATGCCGGTGCCGATACATAGCTCTGTCACATCCAATGACACTGCCAGGACAGATGTCCCTGCTGAAACAGGGCAAGTACTCTTCGCGCCACTCGGACATCTCAGTGGAAGTTATGCTGATGAGAATTTGACAGGCTCCTCGCGTCTCCCGATACTGAAAGTACGCAAGAAACATTCTCGTTGTTGAATTTCGAAGAGGAAGAAAGTACCAACCCGATGCTCACCGTGTCCCTGATGGAACATCAGGAACAGGGTTTACGCTGGATGATACATATGGAACAAAGCCACCGACACGGCGGCATCCTGGCAGATGATATGGGCCTGGGGAAAACAGTCCAGACATTAGCGCTCATCGCCTCGCGTCAGTCTTCCCATCAGGATCGACGTACAACGCTGGTGGTGGCACCGGCAGGCCTCATATCGCAGTGGAAGCGCGAAATCGAGCGACTGTTGCCCGCTGATCCGCGCGGCGCGCGAGTCCGCGTCCATTCCGGACCTGCGCGACAAACCAGATTCAGCGATTTGTCCCGGTATCAGATTGTGCTGACTACCTACAACACTCTGGTGGCAGAATTTCGACGGGGACATCCAGAATCGCCGCTTCTGGGCCGGGCCAGTAAGTGGCATCGAGTCGTCTTGGACGAAGCACAATATATCAAGAACGATCGGACAAAGGCAGCCATGGCCTGCTGCATATTGGATGCCTCGTACCGCTGGTGTCTGAGCGGGACGCCCGTGATGAACAGCCTGCGCGAGTTTTATTCTTTGTTGCGTTTCCTGCGGGTCCATCCCTACGCTGATCTCGATGTCTTCAACACCGTGAGTACTCGTGATTGGTCGATCGGCTACGAATAGCCCTCTGTCACGGACAGGAGATATGAAGCAAGCCGATACTGATTGTACGTTAGACCTTACAACCAACGAATGACGCCCCTGGTAGCCGCGACCGCCTCGTGGTAATGGCACAGCTGCAAGATCTTGTCAGAGAGATCATGCTCCGTCGCACTCAAACCTCCACTCTTGGTGGTCGACCGATTGTCTCCTTACCGGCAAAGCACATCACGACGGTGTACGTAACATTCCGCCCGGACGAACGAAGACTCTACACGGCGCTAGAGAGCCGCACTCAACACCACTTCGGCCTCTTCCTCCACCATGGAGGAGTTCGCCGAAACGACATGTTGAGCCTCTTGCAGCGTCTCCAACAAGCCTGCTGCCATCCATTCCTTATCCCGCATGTCACCCAAGAAGCCAGTCTACCGCTCGAGCTAAACGCCAAACGCTTCACCGGTGCGGTGGTCGCCCGTCTGCGGGATAATGATCGCGTGCTCGATTGTCCCATCTGCCTGACCCAGGTCGATAACCCTCTGATCTTCTTTCCCTGTGGCCACAGCATCTGCGTGGAATGCTTTGAGCGCGTGGCGGCCGATGATCGACTGCATCACCATATTCCGGGGCAGGGCAACCGAATTTCGTGCCCCGCTTGCCGCGCCATCCTTGATCTCTCTCACATCACCGACTACGCTTCATTTGTCCAGTGCCACTATATCCCGCGAGCAAGTAGCGCGAGCGGTCAAGCTGATCTGTTGAGAATGGGGGGCTCGCGGGACGGAGTACTCTCAAGTACATTTGGTGAGCATACAGACAATGCGGCAGCGGACTCAGATCTCCTCACCCACTTTGGCTTGAGTAGCGGCGGACTGTCTGTGCCGCAACGAGTTGCACGAGCCTTGCATATCCCAGTCTCCATGCTGAGCCTGTCGGCTCGGAGGAAGCAGTCGGCAACGAGCCAGGCGGCCAGACGCCAATACCGACAGGATCTGGAAGCTCAGTGGATTGGCAGCGCAAAAATTGATAGAGCTCTAGAGATTGTACACGAGATCCAGCGCCGTGGCTACAAGGAAAAAGTCGTCATCTTCAGTCAATTCACGGCGTTGTTGGATCTCCTGGCTGTTCCTTTGCTGCAGAGAGGCTGGGTCTTCGAACGGTATGACGGCAGCATGACTCCGGCAGCGCGTGACGCAGCCGTCGCGAGCTTCACCGCCCAGCCCGACTGCGGGATAATGCTCATGTCCCTCAAAGCCGGCAACGCGGGGCTGAACCTCGCCTGCGCATCCGAAGTCATCCTGCTAGACCCATTCTGGAATCCATACGTCGAAGACCAGGCTGTGGGTCGTGTCTATCGAATCGGCCAGCAGCGCCCAGTACACGTACACCGTATTCTTGTGCAGCAGACCATTGAAGATCGGATCTTAGCACTGCAGAATTCCAAACGTCAATTGATTGAAGGCATTTTAGGTGAGAATGCGGCGCTTTCTTCCGGCAACCCCGATCATCTCAGAAGAGAAGATCTAGCCTATCTCTTGGTAAGCTCTCCTGAGCAAGATTTATTACCGATTTTTAGTGCAGCTGACAGCGTGAAGGGTTTTCGCGAGCCAAGGGAGACAATTCCGCGGCAATCAACCATTGAAGGGGGACCGATCGGGATTAACTAATTAGTCGCTGATTACATGTTTGATTTGGACGCCTGAAAGAGAAGTGATAAATAAGCATGTAAAAAGGGCTGGAGAGACCTATGCACTTTTCGGTCCACGCACGCAAGGGCATGGATGAACGATGTAGGGGTACGACGTGGGCATCAATATATATCATGGAGGATGACGGGCACACCCACTAGCAGAAATAACAAGAACATGTTGAACATAGCCTGCTCAAATTATCAGAGATTCGTCTCTGGAACGGACCTTATATAAAAATATTAGAAAAGTTAGAAAAACAGCTTGTGATTCTTATTCGCAGTGTCCACAGAATTGGAATGTTTAGACCCCGGACAACGGAACAATACACGAACATTGACGTCACGTGCAGTCACAAGGTCTAGCTCGGCGGAGAAGAGTTTGAGCCTCGTTTTCTTCTACATTAACACATCTGCGGTCGATGATACCAACAACTTGTTCCTCTCTCTTTCGACATCACTGAGCTCAACAACTAATAGAGAATGGAAGCTACGGAGGTGGACCGGATTGATAGAGATTACGCGCGAGGATCAAAGGGACAGAAACCAGGTAAGAAGAGTTTGCGGGCTATATACTGCGGATATTGAACTATGAAACATGAAAGGTGACTAATGAACTGTTAAACAATTGTTTCCGTACAGGGTTCAACGAGTTTCATCATGATGTCCTGTTCCCATAGCTGCATCAACTTCTACTCTCACCCTTTTGCCGCGGTCGCGTTCGGTGGCCAGAATGATGGGGTTCGGACAGGTTCCTACCGGCTGCATGCTTTTGGAGAATTCGCCGATGATGCGAGTGACCGTGGTGGCTATCCTGCAGGCAAAATCCACAAAGCCTTCATTCACTGACACGGCGGCATGAGCCATGGTGTCTTCAATAATATGAGCCTGTGGTGCCTGTGCTACTTGGGCGCATGCTGTTGGCTTCTCCGCCGTTCCAGCTTGGAGGATCTCCGCGGTGGTCGCATCGACTACTTCCGAGGCAACAACCTCGACAGGGTTATTGCGTGCCACGATTCTGTTTTCCGTGATTGATGGATGCAGGTCCGAGAGCGTCTCGTCTATCCATTGAGGCTTGGTGCCCCAAGGGACAGCAAGGAGGATCAAAGCAGCGGTGCTGCCTGAGTCTCCAGCTCTGTGCACGGGCATGGTCTGCAATGAGACTGAAAACCCCATTTCGAGCAGAGTCTGGACAGTCGGTCCCACTGCAGGGATAGGATTCTCCCGAGACCCAGCGTCAAAAACTGTCACCACGATAAAATCGGGGCTCAGAGCTGGAGATCGGGCTGCCAGACTACACATCTGCCACACGTCTGAATTCTCTTTTGTAGGTATAGATGATTCGGTGGACAATGCATTTAGTCTCTTGGAAATTGTGTCCGAAGTCTCGGCTCGTCCGGAAATGGTGGCGATGCGAGGCACGAGGCTCTCTTGCGTGGGAAACGTCGGTTGCTGGCTGTCCAAATGTGAGAGACTGGAAAACAGTGGTCCCTGATGGATTGTGGCGAACGGGTGTTGCTCCTTGAACCTTCGTCAGCGCCATGGCCTTCTCCACTGGTCTACATCGTTCAGAATGGTTCAGCTCACCTTCCAAGCTTGATTGCGGCTTTCGTCGAAATTCATAGCGGCACCGATCCGATATCCAGATCGTGCGAAGCCTATAGTGAGATCTAAATGATCTGGCGTCAGGTCAACGACGGTTGCAGCGGGCAACGGCGCGAACCGTGGAAGGGCGGGTCGATCGGAGGCATCTCGGATAGATCGCAGGGTGGTCACGAAAAGAAACCCGGACTGCAGGCTATCCTGGACTCCGAAGCGTACGAAGTACCCGACGGCAGGAATGTCTAGCCAACATCAGCTTCAACTCACGTGTCCGGTGCCACGGCGATCGTATGGGGACTCACCTGCGCAGGGTGGAATCACGGTGCATGGCATAGCTGGCGTATCTCCATCTGTCTCCACCACGAGCACATCACTGGCATTGATGAGCTCCGCGTCGTCGCGGTGACCCATCCGATCCACATTCCTCCAGTGCAACAGCAGTTCTCTGTCCTTACAGGCACTTTCAGCCCCTAGCATCGGGTGTTCGGCGAGAAAGGAGTACTTTGTGACGAGGAGACGGCGGCCAATCCCGTTCTCTGAGACCGGCTCCAGAACATCGTGAATGTGCAAGAACATTCGCTTGGCCTCGCCGTGATGACTATGGTCATTTAAAGTCACAATGGCACATCCCCCTTTCCCGAGCTTGTCAACATAGCGTTGCGAGGGTTTGTCCGCCTATTCATCAATCAGTATCAGTATCTGGCTTCTGGAAAGAGTAGGTCCTATGTGCGAACAGCCGGGTAACAAGGCAGTGTGAATCGCTCCTGATTGTGTGACACCGCAGACAGGGCAATGATAGGCAAGAATCTAAAGAATATCTGGGCCCACACTTATAGGCAAGGGTGATTTAACTTACTTGGAGGCTGCGAGCGACACTTTCGACTGCCATTTGCTCGCACAGCTGCTCTGAGCGTTCTTGCCACCATGCCGTACGCTCGCTGGTATCGACTAGATCTGTCGGCTGCACGGGGATATCAGAAGGCTGGGTCTCTGGATGCATTTCTGGCGGGCTACTGCTGCTGACGCAGGGTTCGTGGTTTTCCATTGCATTTGCGGAGCTCTTGTCCCTTGGCAGGCCCTGTGATGAGATGGATTGGGGATCCAAGCATCCATCAATGCCGTTTGCCCGATTGGTTTGACAGGCCTCGAAGTCAGTCACGTTGCTCTCGATGCTTGTTCCTTGGTAAGGTGGAAGTGAATCAGCCTCGTTATGTCTAGATGGGATTGCAGTCAAAGAAGACGGGTTCAGATCTATGTTTTGAACCTCACTACCCGATTCATTATTGTCATTTGGTCGACCCGACTCAGGGGTGGTGTCAATGACATTGTGCATTGTAATCTTGATGATAGGGCCATTCACAACCTCGTGGCAGTCAGCGTGCTCAAGATGGTCAACATCAGGAGCCCCTTGGGTTGGAATATCCAGGGCATGACCGATTGAATCTTCCGTCGAGTTATCCACGAACCCCTCAAGCCTTTTTTTGTCAGACTCATGGGCCGACTTATCGATGTACTCAGGGCAGTTGTTGGTAGGGCCATCGATAGTCTTCTCCACGGCTTCATTTACTGGTCGGTTAAGCCCTTCGGTGACATCTGTATCGTGGGGGTCACCAAGACGCCTTTCGCGAAGCTCACGAGGAGGCTCTTTGGTGGACGCAACGGTCAGTTGATCGATGCGGTTGACTGACACTTCGACAGCCACGTTCACAGAATCCGTCACATCAGTCATCCGCTCGTCAGCAATATCGTGGCTAATCTGAGTAGACTGCGAAGAAGATTTCGCGATACATTGATTTGGATGCTTGTCGCGAGTCTCTTCCACAAGCTTTAGTGTTATATCGCGAGACTCGCAAGCCTGTTCGTTCCGGCAGTAGTTGCCGGATCCGGTCAATTGATCAGTAGGCATGAGCCAGTGGCTCATGAAGCCAGCCTCAGCAGACGGAGATTTTTCCAGCGTAGACAGTGGCAGACAGGCTGTGAACGAGGTTCCAATCAATGCCCCATTCTCGCCCTGGAGATAGGATGGACCCCCCGAGCCAACGTTACGTTCGTCGAAATCTTTCGCCTTGCAAACTACTGGCGTCCATGACCCGCCTTCAAGGCCCGGAAAGACTGCCTTTCGGGTGCTCAACGGTATTACTTGTCGTGGGCACTGACAGGTATCTTGGCCGAGATTATAGAGAAGTCCACCCGTAATCGGACACTTAGCTCGGTGCAGAGTGACTAAGTAATGGATTTGCGTGCCACACAGCTCCACAAAGTCCAGGCCGTGACCTGTTGTGAAGAAAACCGTCGGTCCGTCGACTGTTTGCTGCAGACGGATCAAGCGTGGCATCTCGCGCACCTTCTGGTGAGCCTTCCGCATCATGTTGCGCACAGCAGCGTCCGGAAAGAATGCACCTTTGGTAATTGAGCTGTGAATGATAGTGACGGCTCGTTGGTAAACTTCTTCTGCGTTTTGCAGCCCGACCAAAGCGCCCTCATCGGTAAAAGACTTGCCGCTGGCCTCTCCGCTTGGAGTTTGAAGCCATCTTTCGTGAATGTATAGGAGATCGCTGTCGGGACGGTACGCCACGTCGACCACTTGCGCCTGGCTGCGAACAAAGACTACCTGAGTACGTGCCGTGCTTGCATGCAGTGCAAGTAGACCGCGAAGCGTCTGCGCTACACCTTGAGCTTCCGCCGTCTGAGGCACCTCTACTGCTTCCGAAAATTGCAGGCGGTGGCGAAGCTCCTCCACTGGACCCCGGAGCAGGCCATGCTTCTGAAGAATATCCCACAGTACATCGGGCAATGCATGCGGCTCTTTGTTCAGGTCCGAGCGAATGAGAAGAGATTCCTGCGGAAATGTGTTCGTTAGCTGCGATTGTCTACACATGGCAGAGCCCGGATATCCCCGCCACGCGGCAACTTACCGCATGTAGTCGAGACTGGCGACAGTAGAAAATGTTTCCTGCTCGTGCGTCCCGCTGCAAGACACCCCACAGCTTCCGGGCAGTCATGTCTGTCACCTGATATTCTGCTCCTTGCACATCGGCAGGTAACGGATGAGTGAGAAAAAGCTCGAGGTATCGAGGCAGAACCTGAGCTTCATCCTCGTTAATCGCTTCCTGCCAGATGGCATGAATGCACTCCCGAGCCTGGATTGGATTCACCAGGCGCTGGCGATCTCGATCCACGCTTCCGTGGATGAGAACATAGCCGCAGTGGAAGGGTTGAGCGTCGAGGCTCCGTTGGCTGACACGGATTCCTTTGAGGAATACATGATCTTCATACTCCGGATTCAGCAATAAATCTCCCTTGGCCGTTCGGATCCGGTTCGATGATGGATGTAGGTCAACCGTGCAATCCACCCAGGCGCGATAATCGGCGAACGACAAGCGCTGTCCTTTGGTCCCTTTTTCAATCGTCACGCAGACATCATTCCAGATGTTGGTACTAAGCCGCGGAGATTCTGCGCCAGCATCAACGGGCAGCGTCTCGCGCTTCGCTTTTGATGGAGCGATGCGGCAGTAAAAGTTCGTCTTGTTGCGACCATTGAAGTTAAAGGTCCAGTGGCAGCCGTTGGTGGATATCTTGATATGGTGATTCTGGCGGCTGAGTACGAGGGCAGCGAGCTTGAGACCCTCCCCGTGGCCTCCGGCCAGTCGACTGTCGTTGCCTTTCTTGGTGCTGTGACCGAGTTCGAGGCAGTCTTCATGTAGAGTGGTCCCTAGGGTGGCAAATTCGATCCTCCCGTGGATCACATTGAAACGGATGTAGCCCAGCACCGACGAATGACCAGCGGCAACGGAATCGCTTGCAGGGCAATTGACAACGTACGTGATTTCGTTCCGGTCCCCAGTGATGGAGTGTTTCGGCTGGAAGTCCATTAGACTAATCTGGGGATGTATCTGTAGGATGGCATCCTTCCTATGATGATGGGTTAGCTCTCTCTATGCAGAGTACTACCCCACCTATAATGAAAGACACACCAGTTTTGGTATAGCTCACGCAGAGCATCTGGGACTTGCCAGTCGGATGCATAGCCGCGGGTGAGGCCGAGGGCAATGGTCCGTGGACCGGCAGGTGCAGCAAGGCCTGCCTCTTGGACAGTGTCGGGGAAATGATCCGGTAGGCCATTGCTGGGCCTAATTGGTTGAAGATGACTGGCCTCCATAGTGAGAGCACGCTTCGAGGTCGTTTGGGATGGAATATTGTATAGCTATTTGATTGTTGTCGTCTGCTGGCTGATGGCAGTTCATGCGCCGCAGACGTCTTTTAAGATATCCAACTCTCTCCTACGAGTTTGCGATGCGCTACGAAACTACAGATTGGTGCAGCCAGGAACAAAATGGACGGCCGGGAAAATCGAAGGACTGTCTCTATATGACTGTATGTGGTGATATTTCTCGTTGCACGTCTCCCTGTTCTGGTTCAGATGCTAGATGCACCATGCCTATCCTTTCCCTCTTGAATCATGGCTTGTAGTCGAGTTGGCTTACAGTGCTTCAACGCTTGCGCCACACGGAACCGTGTAGCAGTGTTGAGCATTCTGCAGCCAGGTTAAGAGGCCCGCTCATTTTGGCGGCCCTCTGCAGACAGGAAATGAGTACTCGTTTTAGTATGTGAGATAGGACGGCGTGATGCCAGCCTAGACCAACCATAGTTGTCCACGAAAGGCCCTCCAGCATGAACAAGTAATGCGAGACTACGCCTGACCAGGCTATCTGTTCCCAGAATTTAACATTTAAGAAGTTCATAGGAGATATACTTATCGGATACGACAGCCTGCGCTCCTTTTCGCTCGACACCGGTACAAGATATTTCTGCTACGCACCCGTTACCTAAGCCAAGCTGCGCGCGACGGTCAGACACATTTATCCTGCTTGCGCTCCTCTTCATAGCGTCGGTTGTCTTTCCTCGCGCAAATGGGTGACTCATCCGCAGCGACACCTCTGAGACCGCGGTCCCTTTCATCGGGCGAGGTAAGTCGGCAATACCCCCGCGCAGACTCGGAGCCCTGACGCGCGACAGGAGACGCCACGCCCATTCTCTAGTCTGTCGGCAACATCCCAGGAGATCCTCGAAGCCTGCGAACGTTGGGCTACTGAACTACGCGCCACGAGGCGGGATCTTCAGCATGCCCAGGATGAGTTGACTTCTGCAAAGGGAGTCTCTGACATCCTGTTCAACCTGGTTGAGAAAATGTGGGCTCTTCTCTGCGCCTGTCGCAATGGCAACGACGAGAAACTGTCACAGAGCACTCTTGGGGTGCTGTTAGACGCTGCAATTGGGCATTTGGATGTTCAAAGCCTGCGGGAGGCATATGAAAGACTCCGCCGCGAAAATCAGCAGCTACGTAGCCTACTGGCGGCAGCCACGGGTCAAGCAGAGCCATGTTGAGGCGAAGGGTGAGGGCTCGAGCATGAAGTTCAGCCTCCAATCATGTTTCTACTTCCATTAAGACAGAAGTGGCCTACTTTCTGGTGATTGAACGCCTAATGATATCTAGTAGTTCAACCATGATCACCTCTCCAAATGTGATTTTATGCTAGTCCTATAGTACTATATTTACCTGGCACCAGTCATTTCAATCCATTGTGGATCAAGCAGATGGTGTGACTGACAACATGAGATCTGTAATTACGCACAATCAACGCGAGGAAACAGCTACTTTCAACAGTCAAATCTTGTGACGGTTATAAAGAACGGTCTCACACAGTCCCTATTCTTCCGTGAAGGTCGATGCAGATGGTTGAAGATACGGACGGTACTGGGAAAGGTGTTGCTCATCCAGTCCCTTTTCACCAGAGATGGCAAGATTATCTGACCGCCAACCGCTGGTTGAAGTCGTCTCAATGAGGGCGGAACTTTCGAGCGGGCTGACAGGATTGACGGGGTTGGACACCTGCCGATCGCTCTTCTTCCGATGACCCGCGCAGCAGCAGACCGAACATAGCCAACCGACTCCGGCTGCCACGGCGCAAAGGGTTGCTGTGGCGTTGACGGCCACTAACCGCCAGCCCAGGGTCGCCGTGATGCCGAGCGTCACCGATGCAGCTTTCAGGCCGCCAACAAGAGTAGCATAGATCAGACACGCGGTCAGAGTGGCTCCAAAGGACGCGAACATTGCAACCTGGCCCAAAGTAGTGTTAACGACCATTCAATTGGGTTGGATCTAGACTCCCGTTTCCCCACCATTGCAAAGAAGCTTGTTACCAGGCTGGCCCACCGCGAGGCTACGGCGGTCAACCCACTCAATAGGACAAGACCGGTCGAGATCAGAGCAATCAGATAAGCAGTGATTGCCCATTGTGTGAAACGATGATAATACTGAATGGCGTCCTGTAGGGCAGTTGGAAAAATCTTGCTCACCCAGGAACTCTCTAGACCAAGTACACTGGCAAAGTCGAACCAAAACGAGGGGCTCGGACTGGTACAATTGTGGATAACCGAGGTGTTGCCGCTATACGTCCCATTGCAGTAGCTCCAAAGACCGACTAGATAGAAGTCTGGTAAATTAGACTTGGCATTACCTAGCGTAGTGTCTACCGCCTCCGTGAGAGTTTTGTTGACGGTGCTAGCAGCCGCCGCGATTGTATCGGCTGCATCGCTCTCCACCTGATTTGCGGCTGTCGCAACGCTGCTGACAGTGTCTTCAGCGGAGCTAACCGTGCTGGCCACGCTGGACGTGACGCTATCAAGGACCGATCGACGACGAAGAAGAGATTCGAGCTCGCTTTCCAGGTCAGACAGGAAACTCGATCCCAACCGGGCCTACGTATTTGTCAGCTCTACAGTAGCCCATTTTTTATACGTCGCAGTCCCTTGCCTTCATGAAATAGAGCTTGCTAGCGGGAGCCGCAGGGCTCGTACAGCCGACGGCGACGAAGACCATACAAATCAGCGATACAACAGACAAGGCATATGGCAGCCAAGTACCGATGATTCGGCCTGGTACGCTCATGGCTGATGCGCTCCACTTTGTGGGCCTGCTTCAGCTTTCACGGTCCTGTTGATTTGAGCAGGGATTGAGCAGGGGGAGTGGCCAAACAATATACCGAGCCTGTGTTTCTGTAGGAAAAGTAAATCTAAAATTCAAGCGTTGTACGGATACGCTTTGCGTATTGAGTGGATTGTCCTATGATCTCCTGTTTTTGCGCATTCTCGACTGCGTCGTTGTAGCAGCTGCTGATCAAATCTGAACTGTGTGTCTACGAACCACGCCATTTATATTTTTGAAAATGTTCAACTCCGACTAGGAAGCCATGATCATTCTCGCACTTACCCATGACCTTTCTTTATTGTTCGATTGTTTTCCCTGCTGTGCTCAAGAGGTTTTTGATGTATTTTCTGCACTTCGCTAGGCAAAATGGAAAAAACGGCCCAATAGATTGCGATGGCAACGGAGAATTATTGATCAGGGCTCGTTAGTTTGAGGGCTCAATCTTAAGTACGCCACTATCTCGGGACCCTGTTCACTGTTTCATCTTCCCATCAATTTCAGCATTGCCTTCTCAACCATGATGGAGATATTTAGATCTCACATCTCGAGCAGAAATTCGTCTGCATTCCAGCCAAGTGTGAGAGTAATCCAGAAATGCAGACTCTCTGGAAGGTCAGCATATTTATCGTCGCTATTCAGCGAGCATCTGCGGTCGGCAATTTCGCGTCGAGCTGTCGGGATGTGACTCTGTCAAAAGCCGGACTCTTGGAGGCTCAATGCTATGATTCTTCCCAGGGTATCTGGGTACTTACGGCACTAGAGCTTCAAGACTGCTACGCCAACTACAATGGTAGCTTTGTGGCTGCAATTGAGTAATATCCCTTCTCGGGGAACCATAAGTCCATGACTGACAGAGTTTAGTGGTGACGAGAATTGCAAGATGATTCAATTGCAAGATAATCGGTATATGGCAATATCTGAGTGCCAGGAGTTGGGTAATAATGCAGCATCAGAAGACCAACTCGTTGACCTCAGTGAGTGAGTGCAGACTGAACTTCTGTACTTTCGCTAACTTTCCATCAGACGACCACGTAGTCAATATTGATGGACATCTACACTGCCTGGAATGATCGAGTCTCGAACAGCGTAGGCAAAGTGCGTTTTTTCTTTCTCACTTTGGTGATATCGGGCCGTGGGGAGAATAAGCCGAGCTTCCAATTGTGATTAGATCATTTCAAAGTGCAAGACTACCTTATACTATCTTATATATCTCAACCTCTACATCCGACAACCATTAAGATGTGTTTTTAATCATTCTAGTGGTCGTTCTTCAAGGCAGTGTAAGTCTTGCAGCAGCAGAAATCCAATGGCTGGAGCCAAATGTTAGTTTGTGGCATCTTGAAAAAATACTCGTAACCGATTATACCAGTTCGTAAACAGAAAAGCGTTCGAGAAAATCCTGAAATGTGAATACTCTATATCCAATCCCTGCCTCACGATCTTGCCATATGATTCTGTTTCTCATCTCAACCGGCTCCTGCTACAGAATCTTTCCGCAAGCCTCGCTTTGCCATATCTACTCCCGACATGCGTGACTCTCATGCAGATATGAATCACACAGAGTCAGTATCGCGCGATCCTTCGACGTTTTCTAGTTTCATGGTCTTCCAGTATATCCTTGCGCGTTCGTTTGAAACTTTTACAATAGCACCGCCGAGTTGGAGGCCACAGGTCTCGGCCATGATCAGCCCGCCCGAAAGCGGCGTCAGCCTGTTGGTGTTTTAAGAGCGCCTGGACAGATGTGGGGAACCCGCCCAAGGTGCGAAATTCGGTCGAGCCGCAGATACCCAGCTGTAGATCTGCTTCCAAGCCACTTACATGGAGGCAGACACGCTTACGAAAGTAGCCACATTCAGAGCAACCATCCGTGTTGCTGACAGCACCCATGTCACGGTTCTCATCGACAAACCGAGCACCGGGAAAGTGAGAAAGGATCCTACAGATCAAAGTGGTCACGTTTGAGCGAACGCACAGGATTGATCCCCGGCACGCGAGGCCATGAGGGCCGACAGTGGGAGTCTCATCCAACTCAAAGAAGAAAGACTTTGCCAGCCATGCCCTTGTGAGATCCTCGGGCACTCGGTAACGGTACGGCTCGAGAGTCTCGATCGCATCACTGTCATCCAGCTCGGGCAGAGACCCGGTGATCGCTCGATCGAGTCGAAACACATCGGGACGAATCGCCTCAGGGACACTGTCCCAAGCGTCGAGCCAGCCCCGCCGTCCGTCCACTGCAGAGGAAGACAAAAAGGTGCGAATGGCTCTAGCAATGAATCCTCCGCGAGGCTTTGGACAGCTCTCTTCTCCATCTGAATTGGCCCGCTCAGGGCTGTAACCAGTACCAATGCTGACGACGAGATCAGGTTTGATACATCTCGGCCAGATAATCTGGCTCTCTCGCAGAGCTGCCCGCAGGGGACAGTTTGCCGTGACCCCGCCATCCTGAAGCATTCCCACTCCGGGGATGCACTTGGGCGTAAAATACCTGTTGACATTAGCATTATTCTTGCACAGTCTCAGGTAGAGCCCAACCCTAACGCAGCAACACTGCACCGGGCTCTGAGACAGACGTGAGTTAGCGCAGACACGTAAGAATGCTTGGTTGATCTAGTTGCAGATCCCCGTCAAGGATCCCAATCCACCATCTTGGGGTACAGGCAACACCAGCCCTGTGCCGGCAGCAAAGAAAACGCACACGTACACTTCCCAAAGCATTGGCTCCTGGCGAGCCACAGGCACATTGTAAGCCGCATCCGCTGGATGGCGGATTGCCCGGTAGTTACCCAGGAGGCAGAGAGCGCCATCCGCTTCACGACTGGCGGTCAGCGCGACACGGGTCCCAGATGACATTGGTGCGGCTGTATCGAACAGCATCTGGTTCGACCCAAAAGCATCTCGCAGTGTATCCTCGAGAACCCGAGAGTCGTGCCGGCTATCTGCCAGCCATGTGGTCACAAACTCCCACCACTGCCCGAAAAAGGTGTGCCACTGGCGCCTCGCGCGGAATATCTGCCGCGCTAGCGCTTTGAATTTGAGCTGCGCATCTTTGGCCCGGGTTCCACGGATCATCATCTCCGCGGCAATGACCGCTCCTGCAGTGAAGTCAGCCATGGAGAACACCTGGATGTCACGGCCGTAGTTTATCTGTCACCAGCACTGGTCCCTACAGTGAGATCAAAGATTTCACGGAGCCCCTGCTTATCTCCGAGCTTGTCTTCGAGAGCGGCGAGGTATCCCAACGTGACCACCCCGCGGACACCACCCCCGTCCAGCACCAGTAGCGTGGGTCGCTTTGTGGGAGGGAGAAATCGGATGACAAAGGAGAATGGGGCCTGGCACAACCGACAACCGACCAGCTCTACACGGTACTCGGCGCCGGCATTTGGATTTCCAAAGATATTCGCACAAGTGTCACAGATCGTATGTCCGCAGGGTAGCACATGCACCGGTGGTTGTCGCAAACAGAAGAGACAGAAATCGCTCGGCTTCACCGTGCACCAGGTGGAGGCAGCTTGGCGGAGAACGCTGGCCCGGAGTTTGGCCGATCCTGGTGCCTGTTGGAGTGCGGCGAACAGCACCGCGAACTCGCGCTCGACAGCCTGACGGAAAGCGTTTGCCGGTGATGGCGGCCAGGTTTGACATGCGGTTCTACAATCATTCGCGTACAATGTACGAAACATGCTGATGGGATCGAATCCTGTTCCATGTTAATGCTTCGACGTATCGGATTTGTTGGTGAGCTCAGCTTCTTGGGTTCCCGGTTGGCTTACCGTGCATTCCAGGAGGGTACGCGTTCATTAACATCGCGGACGCGACACACTTCGCCACATATTGGCGTTCAAGACCCGTATCATCCGCAAGCTTCAAGAAGCTATGCAGATGTTTTGCGGCGCAAACTTCTTTCGTCTGGCTCGGTCGACTCACTTGAATGTAATCGAGTGGAGTGGTAGGCCTCTGTGCCGCGTGTTCAAGGGACCGCCGGGCTAGGGCATTCAGATGGGTGGCGGAGAAAAGAAGCCGGGCCTCCGCTCGTATGGTGCGCGCTGCTTCCTGTTGCCGGGTCACGGCGTGTTTGAGCGGTTGAAATCGGCTGACTCGCGATAACTCGCCGCGATCACGCAGGTCGACAACGGATATCGCGGCAGCTATGTGAGGGACAGTAGCGGACGAAAGGAGACGTGCTATGCTTTCGCCCGACACCCGTCGCTCCGGCCCTTTCGTCAACACTACTATCACATGTGGTTGAGGCGTTCGGCATTTATCTATTCCGTTCGAAGGTACCTGCCAGGCTACGAGGAGCTTCTGTATCACCTCGGTATCGTCTGTGCTCGAGAGGTCGTTCAGGAAGAGACACACGGTGTGAGTCATGGGCAATAAGACCTGCTGGTATAGTAAATCGCGGACCTCGTCATGCGAACAGTCGTGACTTCGGCATATAGCTTGCTGACACATGACGGTCGCTTGTGGAGCCCGCACACCGGAGTGAGACTGTAAACTGCTCTCAATGAGGATAATCGGTTCCGGTCCGGAAAGCTCAGATAGATGCACTCGAGCCAGCCCGAATCGACTCGACCGACCGAAGTTGTTATGGGGATACAGCGCTCGGAGCGCCTCTGCCTTGGTCTTTCAGCCTACGAAAAGCTGAACCGATGGATACTGTTCTCGAGGTCGATCCATCTTTTCCACAATTTGATGGAGGCCGTCACTGTCAATGAGGTTCCAGCCCCATAGTTCCTTCTCGAGTGATAACCACGGCGCCATCGAGCAAAGAGAATGTAAGCTTTGCAGGATCTAAGGTGATTAATCCGAAACGAGCAACAGTTACAATAGCGGCGTGGAACGGGCCTTTATATTGGCGCGTGCAGGTGCTTGCCGTTGTGAAGAATTTGTCTCTTTTCCGCAGCCCGATGATATCAAGAAATCCGGGCCATGGGTTCGCTCTCATCCGATGGCCCTACGTATTTTGTTCTGGCTCGCAACGCACAGTCCCTGGAAAAAGTACTTTGGAGTCGATCGGGCGACTAATAAGAAGGGCATGCAGTGAATTTGATGTCTAACAGATACGGCTTCATACCAATACGACCTAGACGCCTAGTCTTTCTAGGACGGTAGAAAGCCTATCAAGATGGATGCCAGGGGCAGCTTTTTTGAACTGCCATCTCACCAGGGAAGCCGAATAGACCATGCGAACATGTCTCAGCATTAGAGTACAAGAACATTCTCAATCTGAATCTGTGTCATCACAAGCCGGGCATCAGCGTAGCACCAGTGGTAGGTTCGCCGCGAATTGCTGCGCCTACCTCCTTGACCGATGTGTTATGCAGTCGGTAAGCCACATCTGAAGCTGTATTAGTGATAGCAGATCGCTTTCTTTGGGCGTCAGCACTTACAGAATTCGAGACAAGACCGTAACCTGGACACGTCATCATAAGGTGGAAGCACTCTCTCCATCGCTTTTGGTGTGCCTTTTACAGGATGCTGGACTGGAAGGGATGTGGAGTGCTCGACTCGTGGGGAAGTGGAATGCCGGCTTAGTGTCGATACAGGTGGCGAAGAACTGCGTCGTGGTGTTGATCTGAAGGATTTGATAACACTGCCGAAAAGATTTACCCGGTACCGACGCTGCTTGCGAGGCAAGCGGGTGGGATAGGAGGCGCATGTTCTTCGAAGCTGCCACCACCTATGCCGAAATCGAGGAGAAGGAGGAGTCGGTGCCTGATCACATGATTCCGACGACTGCGCTTGGTCGATCATGCACTTGGGTATCCAACCATGGCTCAAACGAAGGAATTGCGCACGGATTGCCGCGGCGGATCTTGGCGTACCCTGCTCTTTTTTCCACCTCTTCTCTCTTTCCGACCATTTGGTACCCTTTTTGTCATGCTCTGCCACCCACGATCGCAGCTTCTCCAGTTCTGATCTGTTCCACTTTGCCCCCATTTGAGTGGCTAGTTCTTGTTCTGGGTAAACGTTCGGGCTGTGTGAGATGCACTTAACGAAAGAATTGATCCAGGAATTGATCCAGGAATGACAGTAGTGACTCTGTGCAATTAGCGCGCAAGAGAGTGTCATTTATGTCGGATCCACCATTGACCACGCCTTGTTCAGATGACAAGGGTCGAACTCTGTCTGCTGGGTATTGGGGTACTGCGTTAGTAGTATGGTTGCATGTTGAACACCGGGTCCAGATTCGTACCGGATCCACTTCATGAGGTGTTGTTAATTTGTTTCGACTAATTGAACAGATATCAAGCCTGGTCTCGATGGTAGTCTCTGGTCTATTGATTGTACTGTCTGATCCGATTGATTTTTTATCGTTTCATCATCCCTCATGGAATGGTGGCGACGCCGGCGTTGCGCTATTTGCCGAAGCAAGCACTAACGGCGCCCCCATACCCACTTTCTGTCTCCAGTTTGAACAGTGCTCTCAACGGCTTTCCATTATAAATTATGTCTTGATGCAACATCGATCCTAATCTGACTCAGAGCTTTCGTCTTTAATACATCATCGACAGCCTTTTTGCTGCTTGCCCAGGAACTGGATAGACTCTTCTCCTGCCTTTCGGACGCAGTCATTACGGTTCACAGTCAGTCAACATACCACTCAAGATGGGTAACAATGTCGACACCAAGCGTGTGCCTTCAATCCGGAGACTCAGGACAAGCGCTCCTTGTCGAGACAGGCGATATGTATCCAGGACACAGCAGAAGACTGAGGTTGCTAAACGGAAAGACCACGAAAAATCTCACGTGAGTGTCCAGCTGTATACTACCAGCTATGTCGCCGCACCGACGACCCATGTACTAGACTATCAGACTGATGAGGCGAGACAGAAAATTTGGTCATTCGCTTCAATCACTTTTGCATTCGCCAATTACGTCTTACGCCAGGCGCCTCCTGAACTTCGTAGCAAAGTGGAAGACTTTGCGAAGGCTAGTCCTGGCCTGCTCACTATGATTCAAAATGGGCCTCAGATGGATATCCTTCCCAAGGTTTGTCAGATTCTGAAATACCCCCTTAGTCGAGAATTGGCGCCTTGCATCCATCAACATAGGGTCCAGATTGGCTTGTAGCCATTCAGCGGCACCAAGTCCAGAAACCCGCTGGACGATATCTGACTTTCTGGCCGCTGGGTTGATGGGCATTTCCGCTTCTCCTGATTGATCTTGCTCCCTCTAACTAGTAAGGCTAACGGAGTCTATAGGATTTCTGCGGAAGCCAATCTTCCGGCAGGGTGGGGAATGCCACGTGACTCTGATTTCATTTGAGCATTCCGGTCCAAAAATATTCCGCTCCGGTTTTGGTCTCCGGGTCGAGGTCAAGGGTCACCGCCCGCAGTCGGTCCACCCTGCCATCCTACCGTGACCCACTGTCATAGTCGCTGTCATAATTATCACGAGAAACCTATGCATTTCTGGCAAGAAGTGCCTTGACTTAATGACCAATAATTGAAAGTAAGCGTATTGCAATTTTGACCGTCGAATATTGTACGCCGCCCAAGTGATTAGTCCGGTGTGCGCCCGTTTCCCTTCAAAACACTTGCCCCGCACCTTCTCGCAGACAGGAACACTTCGAGCTCTCCGGTGGGCTCCACTCCACGTACTGGTAGTATCCCAAAATCTTGATATTTTGGGCAAGATGAAAACAATTAGCACATGTTCAATCCTAATGGTGGCTGTTGTATCTATTGTCCATGTTAAAGGTAATCTATCTCCAAGATCTGCACCTATCTTGGGCGCTAATCTGAATATCAAGCCCTTCATGACCTCTACGTCAATAATGATGGGGAAAACTTCGTAATAGTCCCGCAAGAAAATCGCAATGGCTGGGTCAATCCCGAAGATTTGCCCCCTATGCCGCAATGCATTGCCCAGCAAGATCAGGCTGCCTGGCTGAAGGCAATGACGAAATGCACCAGCAAACGATGCACTAGGCACTTTGGCATCATCTGCACCCATCACCAGTGGCTGACCCAGCTCAGCTGTCTGAGCGTGGAGTTCTCTCCCGATGTTATCGCGAGCTATTTCAGGTACTGTAGTCGATCCACTCTCGCCAAAGCGCAATTGTACCAGTGGGTCCGGAGAATCACCGGTCGGAGGTGGCTGATCAATGTCGGCGATGGGAACGGGCTGGAACATCTCACTCCGGCCTCTTTGGCGAAAGGATATGCAGCTGTTGATGTGATGAACAAGGCATCGACATGTCTGACGGAATCGAGCTCTGCTCTCTCATCAGAACCATTTCAGCATATTATGGCCTGCTGTGGCTTCACGGGTACAACACAGCATACGGGAAATGCGGCCCGTCCCTGGGAGTATGATGAACTCCGACATTCCATGATTGCTCTCGATTCTAAAACTGCTGGCTACGATATTGTCGGACAAAGGATCAGCGATGGTGACTATTTCGATAAAGAATGCTTCTGCAGTACCTTCACCATAGATCTCGAAAGCGAACCTTGTCTGGAATCGGATTTGCTGGAGCTCACGAAAGAGCGTCTCTGGATTCGAGCCACATGTGGCCCAACATCCTTGCCTCCTGACTGGACAGACGGGCTCAAAACCACACAATCCGCCTACATTCCCATCGAAGATTGGCACTGGCCCTCGTGTGTCGTGGACATGCCGCCGGAAGTGATCGAGCTGCCTAATATATGCGCAGCAGATGCTTGTGAACCCGACTTGAGTGGCTATTGTGATGTCAAGCGTGCAGTGGACCGGGCTTGCTTTTGCCGCAATATCAAGTACGAGTCCTGCGGGGGATCCTGCCGCGTATTCGAGTCCCGCATAGACTACGTGGGCTGGTTGTATGATCTTTGTGGCCAAGTGCAGGATTGGCACGGCTTGCCGAATGACTGGAGTAGGACATTAGCTGTCCCTACCCCGGTTGAAATGATTCCGTGGCCATGGACGATCAAGCCGTCAAACAATTCAGATATCAGTTATCTCACCCGGGTGCGACGTACTTCTGGGGAGAGAACATGTGTCTCCAATGAGTGGAAGCTGAGAAGCTTCTACACACTCAATATAGCGATTGCTCTCGCAGCATTTCTTATCCAGCGGGGTTTACCTCGATTTACGGGCGATTGTCGACAGCAATGGTACTCGTACTTGTGCTACTCGCACACTTGGCTTGTCAAGGGGATGCTAATAGCTGGGTCGCAACTGCTTGCAAATTGGTACAATGTGCTGCTTGTTGAGATGACTCCTGGATATGAAAACGTCCCTACTATTCACTTATTGCTTCTCTGGTGCTCGATCCCTCGTCCTGCCTGGATGGTAGTTTTGCTGCTCGGCCTACAAGAGCCGTTCGGAACGACAAGATTATCCGCCGCAGCGTCCGTCGTACTTGCCGAGATCATTATGCAGTTTATATCCTCGTATTACATGCTTATGACCATCAAGTACGGCCTATACCACGATTTCTATCTTGGACGTCTACACGAGATACGCAGAGGGACTTTAGCAGAGACCATGTACACTGGAGCGCTTATGTGGGGGGTAGTTGTCGGTCTGACGGTTTTTCAAGTTATGCGGGCTATGCACAATCGGGGAATGGTAATCGCCGCCCTTGACACCCTAATCTTCGATCGGCCTAGTATTTGGCAGACAAGAGCTAAGCAGACGCAGACAACACCTAGCCTCGCTGAGCGCCTGAGAATGACAATATCACCTTGCATCTGTGCGCAGATAGAGGGCTCGACTCAGGGCTTGGAGGAACGATTGCTGGGAGACCATATGGGGAGAGATGATTCCGGCGGAAGATACGGCACATTCTCTGTTCAAGGAGAGCAGCAGGCCCGGACGTCTCCACGAACGAAGATGTATGCCGCTATAGTCATAATTATGCTCCTGCTGTGGATTGCGCAGTGGCTGTTCTGGGGTGGATATATTGGTCTCAGCTCCGAAGAGTAAGTGTTGATCTCATCCTCACTGCGCCTCCGGCCTCTGAATCCTTGTACCCTGCCGTACTCGAGGACAAAGTCTACATATGCTAACCTGGCGTAGGGTTTGTCCTCCTAGGCTGAGGGCTCTCACGGCTGTCTGGCTTGCTTCGTCGGTGATGGGCGTCTTCATTAGTGTCGCTTAGTCAATGCAAATATATGCTTGTCATCCTGCAGCTATAACGCGGTCGTCTGTTATATAGCATTATTGGTCCGGGCCTAGGTTATGACTAATGGCTATGCGAATGATACTCCCGTTCTCTCCACTTGTATAGCCAGCCAAATTCTAATCCTGGAATTAGTGTTTCGTCGCCAGCGCACTGCTCCACAGTCCAGGAAGAGCCGCTTACATTAACTAAAACAATATCTTCTTAGCAAAGTAATTATTGTTGCCGAGTGAGTCAGAGGAGAGCACAATAGAAGTGCTTACTGAAGAGCCCAGGATGATTAATGCTACGCAGGAATTCATAATCCAGTGGTTCGAATCTGCCTGATCTCATCCCGGTAGATCTAGCAAATGAATACTGTAGTAAGCGGATATGTATTATTATATCTTGTATAACTCTACAAGATATGCTGTAATAGAACCCAATCCTTTCAACAATAAAATCAGTAAGAGAAAGAGTGAAGTATCATCCACGAGAATTATACTTCTTGAGCATTGTCAGGCTGAGAACAATGACTTGTGACAAGAATCTGCCTCTTTGCATGCATCGGTATGGCTCATGTTTCAGATTCTTTCAGTTCTGTTGACGTGACCAACGCTTTGTAAAATACCATCTCTCCCACCATGTATTGATTCTCTAAGAGATAAATATAAATGAGAAGAAACTTGAGATTTATGGCTCCGTGAGATGGGAACACCAAGACGAAACTTGAGGGTACCACGAAACCAGGTCTAGCTTTCTGAGAAGTTTTATTTCCACACTGACGGTATAAGAACTAGAACCTCTGGTTGATGGATCGGAAAACAAGAATCAAGAGCTCCGGGTAGACATGGCGGTTGCGCAAGGCACTGTAGAATAATTCAGATCGGTCACCAGTCTATTTTCGCAAGCGGCTTTCAATATGAGCGGACAAGAGAGAACAAGGTCCCAAGTTGCCAGGGTGTGGCCGTTGATGTGGAAAACAGCCACAACGAGGCCTGAATAACCCGAGACGAGCTATATTTCCAATGACGGTCGTACTATCGCTTAGCAGCAAGGCAATGCTTGCTCTCCTGGGTTGTTGTCTATTTCCCAGACGCAAGATTAACTCTCAATTGAGCGATCTCCTGTTCGTGCATTGCAATGCGATATGCCTGATCTTCAATGATCCGCCATTGCGCACTGGCCATCTCTCTCTCTGACGCCAGATCTCGTTGACTTCTTCGCAAATCCCAGACGAGAGCCGTCATTCCGACTTCGACTCCAATGCTTGCTTGTCGGTCGAACGCCGAAGCTAATTTGGCGGCGATCTCAATCAATTTCCGGTTCTCGTTCTCCAATTTGTCTATAGTTTGCAGGAAAGTCTCTCTCTCTCTGATCAGCGTATTCGCCTGCCCTTCAAAGTCAAAGATGTGAGATTTAGTGTCAGCATCGGGAACCGGGTCTGAATGAGGCTGGTTCGGGCGATAGCCCAGCCCGACCAGGTTGACCTTGGATTATGGGCAGCAGTTAGCCTAGATAATACTGGGTAAAGGGGCAAAGGTCGAAGGAAGACTGCTAGAGTGAAGCATACCTTGGGTAGTGTTTCAGTACTACCATGAGCCATGATTTTGGTATCCCGCCGATTGGCCTTTTCAGGTGGGTTGGTGCAAGCCAGACGGAAATTTAGAGGTAGGTTCGTGAATTGGCGCTTCGACATCAGAGAATGCTCTGCAGCTTGGTCCAACCAGGCAATATTTGTACTCATTCGCGTGCTCCAAGTGATTGGTCCCCGCAGTAAGTTCTGCAGGCAGCCTGGGCTAACACCTGAATATAAGCTTTTGAATCAAAGCGTTCAACGGTTCTTCAAGGCTCTAGCCCAGGTTGAGAAAGCCATACCGCATGGTAACTATTTCGCAGAATGTGAATAGTAACCAACACTCTACTCTGACGAAATTTAATTGCTCTGTATAAAATGTGAGGCCCTCAGATTTGCATTCTATATCAACATATGAGATACATTCAGTCAATGGCACAATCTATTGAACAGCTTCAAAGCTCCTAGTACAATGCCTTTCTGACCGTGCTCGCTCTCCTGAGTTCGAAACACAAAATATGTAGTATTTATCCCCCAAAAGTCTTCCTGGGCAAAATCATTCTGTAGCCATTGTATTATTCGATCACGAGATGTCTCCAAGAACCGGAAAGATTCAAAAGTCCCCTTGGGACCGCAATACACAGGAGCAAATTCGAAAACGGCGCCATAACCTGTTCAGAAGAATCAAGGAATTTCGTGATCGCTACGATATCGAGACATGGTGTACAATGAGGATGCCAAGCGGGCGGATCTATGTATTCAACACAAATCCGAATGAGCCATCTCCCCTCACGGAAGAGGTGGTAAGTTCTATGATGATCGCTGCGACTAAAAATTACTCATCCAGCCTTGTAGGACCCTCAATCGACAATCATCCACAAGACACCGGAAGACTATGTACCCAAGACGCCATCAAAATCGCCCGCCAAAAGGCCTCCAGTGTTGCCATTTCATGATTTACCGTGCTTTGTGTCAATTTCTGGTGTATTTTCCGAGACTGAAAGTATTGATGACGAGACGGGAGACGCTTCGAGAGACAAGGCTAGAGTCTCGATTGGTCGGAGTAACAGTTTGTGCTAGGCATAACACAATCAAATTTTCTGTCGTTGACTTTGTGTAAAAGCTTTTGAATATTACCGTAGATATTTAGATATCCTTAAGCGAAGTAGGCGATTTAGAAGCCATCCGATGCCAAGCTTGTGATACAAAGTGGAGAAATACGATTATCGGTTTTGTTGTAAGTTAATTAGTACGTGTTTATTTACAGTTTAAGACAGCATTGATAGCCCGGAGTGTTCATGGAGTGAGAGAATAGTCGTAGAAAGTCAAAGCTGAGTGGTTCATGCTGACACCTTGGCTCCTGAAATTTGAAGCGGGAGTCTTGGTGGACCGATGACAATACTGTCCAAGGGTGACAATTCCAAGCGCGGTGTCCTCCCTGGCGGACTGTCACAGTTCGCGAGATTGTCAGTGGGCTTTGATAGTTCGTCCCGGGGCATATCATGGTCTTTGAGGGCCATCCGGAAGCCCTGCCGTAATGCTGGTAGACAGGCTGCAATGACTATTAGATTCGCTTCGATACCACTGCGACGGTGCGTTAGATAGTGGACCCTCACTGGAAAGCAGTCCAGACTCCTTACACGAGCAACGCAAGTGGCGCTATGTCGTACGTCAAGTCGTCGGTTTTCAGTAAGGGAATTGTAACGCGCAGTCGGATAGCGCTGGCAACGAATGTCCTGTAGAAGGTCAATTCAAGCGGCTGTGGGCCACGGTGCTTTTGTGGGGTCTCGATGCTTACACGCAGACCATGATAGAAAGGATCACAAATTTGACTTTCTGTGCTCGAGGTACCTGCATATTGTAGATCAGCGGCACGGGCAGCAGTGCCAGCAGGATGTCAGAGCATATATTCAGAACTGCAACGGCAATAAAAATTGCGGGTCGACTAATACACTTGCCGGCCTGGGACACATTCCATGATCGGGTGATAGGTCGGCAAGCGAAGACAAAAAGCGATATGATAATGAACGAGCCGGCTGTGATGAATGCAGTGGCAGCATATAGTGCATAACGCAGCGTGTGTTTTCCGGCAAGGATGCGACCCAAAAAGATCAGATGAGCGCCCCTGGCAAGACATAGACCCGTGACAAAGAGGCACGCGGTTGCAAGAAATAGCTGTTGGGCCCAACGTGAGCCATGGGAAAATCGCCTTATCCGATGACGTACCTTTTCATACAAGTCCAATAGGCGGGTCGTAAGGTCTTGAACATGTACCCCCAATCCAGCGTTGTACAGAGCATCTGTGGTATGAGTAAGCGACCATGGTCCCGCCAAGTCTGTGAGCGAATACCTACAGAGAATCAAGCCTTGGGTGTTTATACAGACGATCTATCGATCTATGAGCGTCGACTTCCAGACTACCCTCTATAATCTTACCCATGATAGGACCAAACAGACTGCCATGATTGCTCCGCGTTAGAGTCAGAGGCCAGATCGAGCAAGCGCCGAGCGACATGTTTCTAGCATTCATCAACAGCACTTACCATCTTCTGGATAAAGCCTGCCGTTCAGTCGCCTCCTAACCCGCAATCGCAGGATCAGGCACGTAAGACTGAAGATCATCCCCAAGATCAGCACAGATTGTATTGGTACAAAAAGATGTCCCTTGGGCATTGTGGCCTCTGGTCGGAAAGAGAAATGATTCGCACCGAAGCAAACACATAGGCTTCTTCAATGGCATGCCTGCGATAGGCGGACGCTTAAATACACTCTAACTTCATTGTCTTGCATGTAATCAATCGATTTTATTCCGGCGTTATCTCCAGTTCACGACTTAAACTCTATCTGAGAAGTAACATCGGATTGGTCATTAATCCGGTTTCTTGTTCCTCGCTGCGGTTCATAGAGAGAATATCCACTCTTTTTCCACAACCAGAGTCCGTCGTATCCAGAACGTTGCTAAGACGGTTGGACAGGTTGCAGAGTCAGGGGATCATGGCTGACCTAACTGTGAGAAGGTCAAGGACCGAGGAAAGAAAGACTTACCTGGCGCAGAATGCTTCTGACTGGAGTATCACTTGACAAGCCGAGTAGCTTCACCCTCAGAAATGTCATATGAGGCTCCGTGGAGCCAAGGTTTTGAGGGTAACATAAGTTTTCAACGTCCGTGCGGAACGTGTTGCTCGATGTCAAGGAGGTCAAAGAGCTTCTGCCGATTGTCACCTCGGACTCTGCGCATGTATGAAGCTTGCCCAGCGCTGATCAATTTGGTTGGCGCCTCATTAAATGCCTTGTTTCCGCACGACCGGGCCAGAACATAGCCTAATAAGGCAGCAGTGATGCATGCGCAGATAGCTAGAAAGACAACTAGGCTGTGGGCTGGATTCCACCCCATTGAGCGAGCCAGACGAAGCAGCAGATCTCCGACTAGATGGTATACTGTGTATCAATGCTTCTGAAAGGACAATTCAAATCCCACAAGTCCCAATCGATACATTTATTCCATTCCTGCTTTACTCCCAGGGTTCTCTGTAGAATTATTGCTGGGCCTCGGAATTCTGCAGGCCTCTTGATGTATAGCGCTATTCGTGTGGGTAGGCTCATCCGACTCACCCGCAGTAGGATGCTCTAAACTGCTGCATCCAGAGCTAGCTGCTGAGATGACGCTTGCTCAAATTATGATTATGTTTATTTTGTTTCAGGGCAGACAAAGCGCACGCCTATTGTCTGTATACCCGACATTGATGAACCTTCACCCCGGACAAATAATCGGAAGCTGCGGGCCTTGACAGGGAACCTTGCGTCATTCAACAGGCTTCTTTTCCGCAGCTGCCGTTTCCTGTAGGCTCTCTTGTGCCCAAATCGCACGTGAAAATGTTTGACAGCGAGAGTGAGAAAAGGCAGCCCACTAATGACTTTCCATAAACTGTTGACTGATGATTAATTTCTCTAAAACAATATCACTATCATACAATGTGCACCGGTGTTGATCGAGGTTGTGGATAAGAACTGGAAGTATTCGTGTTCTTGAGTTGGGGGACTAATTGCCCCGCCCTATGATCAAAATAGCTTGTGGTCGGATTCGAATCGTCTATCATTCTTGTTGATGTCCAAAAGATGTGGAAGCAGCCGTTGCTCAAATTGAGGGCAGGTTTAAGATTGGACCAGAATCGGTCAAGACCGGACTTGCTGTCTTCACCCTATATATAGATCGTCTATTATATCTTCCTTCATGCTACATTGACGGAACAAAACACTGATCACGCTGAAGCTTTGTGAAAACATTCCAACTTTCCGCTTCAAGTGTTGCTATCTGGCCCGATAACTCAAAATGATCCTCGCCCGAGTTCGAGGAAGCGATCTTCCTGTCATATTCATCCGGCTAATCGAACTTTTCACTATCTCTCTCCCAGCAGTCAACTACTTTTTCAATTATGTCATTCTTCCCATTGGTCAAGCACAGATTGCACTGGGTGACACAATCATCATCCTTATCATATTTCTCGCTGCTTTGACTCCATCTGTTCTCACTTTATGTACCCGTTTCGGCCATCCTACGTCTCATCTGGAAGAAGCAGCAACCATCATCTGGATGGCCGTCGCAGCTTCCGCGTTCGTTCACATTCAGTTTCACCATGACCAGTGGATATATGGCGCTTATCTTTTGACTCTCATTCTCACGGCCACGCACAGTCTATCCAAGTGCGTCAACTTCCACGAAGGCACCTTTCCCGACTTCCCATCTATCTGCTTGGGCTACGGAATATTAATGCTGGCTCCTGCAATTCACGCAAGCTTGGGGTCATCCGCTTCTCCACAAGCCATGATTCCATCGTATCTCATCTATATCGGTCTTAATGCGTTGGGAGGACTGATTTACATTTTCCGGATGCCAGATCGACTTGGCGTACTCAATGGTAGCAAATGGGTCTTGCACTGCTGTAATGCTCTAGCAACAATGTATCTGTCCAATACTTTGTTTGCCACCTTGGTCGCTGATCAATCGGGGCTGTGAGGCACAGTGCTTGGCCCGGGTCGCGACCCGCCCTTCGTCGCGTTTCGCGTGGAGCGCGTGCTTTTTGAAGATGCGTGGCAGCCTACCAGCGGCAATATCTCACGCTTCATCTAGATCTCACCCAAATGAGATTACGATGAGTCTGCCCATCTTCAGCAGTTGATAGTTGGTTATGTTAGTGAAGATGTCTAATGCACAAACATAGCGTGCATAGCATTAAGGTTCCCGCAAACACTTCCATTCTCCAAAGATAACCCTGAAACTTAACTGTAACCAATTGAGTACTTGTCGAGAGTCATCCGACTCCGCTCCAACCCAGTCAAACGATTGTTCCCCTGTCTTCTGAACTTTATCCCGCAACAAGCTGACATTAAGACACTATTCCACGCCCAAGGAAATGTACATAAGCTCTTGACATCAATCGTTTAAACAGTAGCTTTCCGTTGAAACTCGTCCAAATCTTATAATGAAGTACTTGACGCCGAAGCGCATTGCTATCTCGTGAGCCAGGAATTCTAGATGTACCTTCGAAACACTCGCCTACTATCTTGAATTTCCCTTGAAATATCGTGATATCACGCCACCCAGTTGATGTTCCACGGCCACATTTGTAAATAGGATCCAATGTCTGTTGAGCTCGACAGCTGATCCCCCCAACTACCTAAGCAGCTCGGCATGATCCACCGCCTTGTCTTAAGGTTTACGACGGGAAACTAGCGATTCTTTCGATCAATACGCTTTATTTCAGTAAATGAGTAAGTATAGACGTATGGGAATTCTAGGCCTTCCAACCGATGTGTGTAAGAGAGTAGACGCAAGCAGAATGTTGCACGATGTTGCAATATTCCGGACAGTGTGCACCCTACAATGCCGATCGCGCTAAGATGTGGGTCCTGGCCAGTGCAGGCAGCAGGAAATCACTTGTTGAACATGTTGAACTCGATCTGAATTAGCCCAATCCCAGCACCAATCAATCTTACTGGAACAAACGGTGAGTTTTACAGGACGTAGGTGCCTCGAATCTTGCTTTGATGGCTCGTAGAACAGAAAGTATGGGTTTGGCTTGTTCAACACCGTCGATGCAATCTCAGCCGTGTGTACGGAGAGCTAGTATCTGCCTCGGTTTAGCGCATAGTGTATGAACCCAGCTAGTCGCCGATTTGGCGAAAAGAATTATAGATATAGACCACACCCTTTCCTCTTATGTGAGGGCTTCTGTGCTACCATCAGTCACAATGAGAACCTTTCTCTACTTCGCAGCTGGGTTCGCTCTGACGACTCTGTCGAGTGTTGTCAACTCAACACAAGATGTAAGCAGAACGAGTGCCGACATACCAATAATCACTGATTCCCTTTAGAGCAACCGATACCCTTCACGATGTTATCCCGATCCCTGCGCCGGCATTACGTATCAGGACGACAAATACATCTGTGGAGACCCCCGTCTAGGACCAAGCTCACTGCCGTCTTCCTTTCCTCTAAACACGGAACTCCGAACATACGCTCGGTTTGGTGACCTGTGTCCATTCGAGTTTCTTCTCAAATGGACGACGGATATCCGTCCCAACGGAACCTACATCTATCCGTCAGAAGATGGTTTTGTGACGGACATCGACGGCATCGCGATCCAGGGCAATGTAACTCTGCGGGTGGGACAGAAGATCGATTTGGTTCGGAGTCTGGGACCTTTCTGGCGGTTCTGGGCGCTCCGTACATCGAGCGAGCGTTGCCTCCGACAAACCTGAACACTGAAGATGGTTTATTTCCCTATGATTATCACGTGTATGAGGTTCTCCGACCGTTCGTGGTCAAGGCGGGGCCTATTGCCAGTTGGTTTGAGCAACCGGGCCTAGGAACCCAGTTCGTGGCTTATGATCCAATCATCGATCTCATTGGCGGCGGATACATTAGACGAATGTACCTGTCCGAGTATGATGCCCGAACAGATTATGCCGCCGACTACCTGCCTGCTCCTACCAGGATGCCAAGTTAAGACATAGATTGCAGGAACAGAGAAGCAGCAGCTGAGGATCTGTGCGGAAGATCGGTACGACGCGACTCCCAGGAGCAAGACACATCATTCATTACTATTTTGTATTTGTATAGATCTTGAACATGGGATGACTAAAGAAAGAATCATAATTTATTTTCCAGAGAGAAATGAGACGTGGGCCTAGATGAACATGGAGGATTCAGAATGCTATAAGCAGGGAAACGTATTGTGGCTCGCCCTCGAGGAATTCATATCACCTCCGCGCAGCCAGCTCTTTGAATAGCTCCAGATTCTCGGCAAGGATCCATCCTATCACTAGGCAGTACCGGCTTTGCTGCCCATGAACACTGATCACGCGCTCGCTAAGGACAGCCACATCATCGGATAACGTTTCATAACCCTTCCGCTTGTCAATTGGATTACTTTCAGTGTTGCACGAGCGGCGCACCTGTGTATGAATCAATTGTGCTTCCGTGTCAGATTCAGTCAAGGACGCGTATCCGTAGCCAGAATTAGATTCCTCATCTGATGGGTCGAGAAGGAAGCTGTCACTGGATAGTCCGTCGGAGTCACTGCTTTCCGGACTGGAGTAGCTCGACGAATCGGACAGGCTATCGTCGACTTGAGGAGCCGGAAACTCTGCTAATCCCGCAAAGCCGTCAGTCGTGGCATCGTCCGTACGGGATATCTGCTGCATTTTCTCGATCTTTCGGTGTATCTAGTGTTTGTCTGCTGCCGGTGAGATTGAAGTTCGACGTCGGGACTGGCCAGTCAGGACTGCAAAGTAGCAGCTTATAAGTGTCTGGTTATAGATCTCCACACAACGTCTGAGGATGCAGATTTGACCGGGCATAAGATTTTCAGGCGTGTCCTTTTTGGTTGTTTATCTTCCGATTGCAGAATCTCCTGTTTCGTGGACCCGGTCGATTTGGTCAGGCGAAAGAACGCTCAATCTACCGGTCCCTAGATATGGGAGATAGATGAAAAAGAGCAAGGGCGTTTATGGCGATAGAAAGCTGACAGCTTTCGTCGGGCGGATTTGTCTGGAGGCGTGTAGATTGAGCCAGACTCATGTCGCGCACGAGGCATAGGTATAGATCATGCGCATCTCAATTCACAAATTCGAGACCCTGTTTCTTTTTCAATGCTCCTGATATGCTTAAATTCTCTACTATCCTCAAACTCAACCCGGGTATTCGCCAGTCTGGGCATCCCAGAGCCACCCTGCACCTTTACAAGCTGTCATCATTAACTTAATTCTCCATGCCCTACACCAAATCAAGACAAAGACGTCTTAAGGGGCTGCTTAAAGGGCAATAGATAATAAAGAGTCCTACCGCTCCTAACATTTACACAAAACCTACCTTCTTGTATGCAGCTTGCCGACCATGAGCGGATAATGAGTGAGTGTTGGCTGCAAGATATATCTTTAAAAGCAAAATCTTACCCATACTCGGACTCAAGCTCTCGTACTCAAACAATTCTCGAGGATTATCCCACAATCAAATGAACACATTCCACGATGGCAAAGAGCAAATGTGCTATGAGAAATAAATGTCTGCCTATAGTTGTGCTCGGAATCAGTGCCAATCTATGTGGACCAGTCAGTGCTTGTGGAAGCTTCAATGCGACATGTCATGATATAGTTATTAGTGTTGGTGGTGAACTGACTTCAAGTTGCTTCGATTCAACATCCGGGGTATGGGTGAAGACGACCCTAGATATCACGACATGCGATATCAAGCTTCCTGATTGGGACAGTGTGTTAGTGGCTATTCGTGCTCCCCAGTGGACAACCATTTGGTACTAAGGTCACTTCCATAGGCCGCTCAAGAAATGCGGATTCTGGTACAAAGGATCAGTGGCATTTAATAACTGTCTGTTGTCTGGGGACCTCTATGAACCGGTCCTTCTAAGTATGTCTACTTTGATTGTGTTCGTGCATGGGATTTTTAACTGATTTCTTAGATGAATTTGTTGAAAACCAAGGTGGGTCCCTCAAGTGTGAATGTTCATGGCCGTAAAAGGCTTGTACACAGGGGATATACGTAAATCATAAAAACTGAAGTTCCGCACATCACCTGAGTTGAGAAGTAGGAAAGAGAATAGCAATAGAGACATCTGTATTATTGGGCAGACCCATAATATAGAATCTATTGGTCTTGCTACGCAGAAGCATGGTCTGATATATTATGATAATCTCAATAGCTCCATTGACATTGAACGAAGTCCATACGGTACCCAGATCGCAAAAAAGACGCCTCAAAGCACCTCTCCCTCAACTTTGAACACCTGATTGTGAACCTGACTAAGCGACTCCAGTGCCTGGCAGATGTGGGTGTGAAGAGAAGTAGAACACGATTTCCATCGACTGATCTCCTCATGTAGAGCATGACGCTCTGCATCCCAGTTTCCTTGCGCCTCAGCCAATTCACGTGCACGAGACGCGGTGGTTACATCCAACTCAACGCTCAGAGCCTCCTTTTCTTGCTGAAGTCTGCGGATCGTGGTAGTGAAGCTTTCCCCTGGGATCGTTTCGCAATGCGCACTATTGATTGAGACAAAGGTACTGCTTTCCGGCGAGTCCGCAAACGGTAGAGCCGGTGTGCTTTCTGGAGTCTCGAGAGCATGTGGCGGCACAGCCTCGATGAGATCTCCGTCTTCCAAAGCTGCACGAATCTTGCGGAATTGGCCGACACTTCCGCTGCTAAGGTTCGTCCGGAAAGTCGCGCGCAATGCCTCGGAAACATCCCATCGGTAAGGATCCTGGGGGCGGGGCTGCAGTCGGACCATGCTTGGCTCGATCCTTTTGCCAAGACGTTGGTCTAGAGAACAATTCTGGTTCAACTTTCTTTCACTAGGTCCGGGATGATTCAAGAGCTGGGTCCACCTACAGATATGATCCGCCAGGGCCTTACGACATTTAAGCCTCTCCGATGCCCTCGTCCGATTGCTGCTAGATGGCATGGTGAAGGAATAGCTGTGGCTCTGGGGTATGTCGAATCGAGAGTTACCCAGTGGTATACTGACAGAGATTGCAAGATGGGGGACTTAAAGATATTTAATCAATTCTGTGGCCTATGGTCTGAGTTTCTCTATTCATGGTCCGGCACTTGAGTCGTTTTGTTTCGGCGGGTAGGTCGGTGTTTCGTAACAGTCAAAGCACGAACAACGTACTTGTTCAACAAAGCACCCTGCTGGAATTTGGTCCCTCAGAAATCCCGTTGAACCTGCTCAATTCAGTAGCCGTTACCCCCTTTCCTTTCGAGATTTTCGTCGGCTTTCTCGCCCTCCACTCTAAGTCGAGTGTGCCCGTCAAAAATGTATTACCGTCAATTCTGTACTGCGACATCTCTGAGCGCCCCCCCCCCCCGTGTCTTGTGGCAGCCCTGAGTGTCGTGTTCATCTAGTCCTCTACGAATACTTCATTGAAAAAGAACGGCACTTAAGATTCTGCATCTTACTCAAAGACTGAGATATCAAAGTACCTCTCTTGGGTAAATGATCTGACGCCATGTCAAATATGCTCATGAAGGCTGTCTGCTGTTTGCTTGGCGCACGCATTTTGAATCGCCCCGAGAGAACAAGACGCCGTTAGCCGAGCAACTTCGATTCTTGCATATCTCAATTCTAAGTCAGTCAGCGTTTAGTTCTAGCCTAGCGGATATCAATGGATCTCACTTACCCATCAGAATAATCGCCACCGCGAGGGTATCTTTATCGGTGAAGCCAGTCATTTTCAGCTGCAGTGCCTTGGTCCGATGATTCAGACACCGGACAGGTGCACAATCTTGAGGGGACGTGGCTAATTTTATGTTCTTGCCCGCCTGAGGGCTTTTCCAGCTTCAATTAGTCGATTGGATCAGATCAATACTCTTTTCGGTATTCTTACCGAGTTCTCACGAACTGTCGCGGGCCGAGTTTGTGGCTTCCTTGTATCCACAAGTACCTTTTTCGTAGACCATGACTGGAGCGACCAACTCGAAATCGCTGTTTCCACAAGGTTGCTCTTTCCTTCCAAGAGAGAAACTTCGTATCTCGCTCTACGAATTGAACAAGCCTGTTCTTCTCAATCACAGTCCAGGATATGCTGTTCATCTTGAAATAGGATCAAAAAGGGTCAACATGGAGTACCTCCTCTTTCTGCACACCTGGCTGGTTATTTACATATCAACCCTGGGCCTTGCTTCTGCACCACTGGCTCGCACTACATCCCTCATATCCAGCCTCATGAGTCTGAAAAATCGCATTCGTATCCGATTAGTGCTACGTGCTACTGTGCTACTGTAGAGATATGGTTCAAGCAAATTTGATAATGAAAGTGTATCCATTATTTGATCAATGGCGCCGTGTTCTACTGCTGCTGTTCAACGCGGCAACACTGAAATGAATCGAAATTCTACTGGAGGGCCAAGATATCTCCACATGTTCACCAAATTAAATCAACACAAGCATCATCCTGTAACATCTTAATGAAGTGATCAGACGCCCCACACAAGCGAAAAGAATCGGTTCAAAAATATCAGAATTGCAGTGGATCGGATTCGAGGGTTTGGTTCGTGCAATGTTTGCTGCTATACTAAAAAGAGATGAGTGTTCCGAGATCCACTTCTAGCTCACCCCTCTCATTGGCGGGTCAGGCATCGCCTCTCATTCGTTATAACGGCATGGGTCGCGCATCCACGAATCTTCACTTTGCACCCCATCCGGGACCCAACGAGGATTCACAGCGCCGAGTACAAACAACTCACAGACGTGGATGTGGATAGCCAGGCAATCAGAAACTGACTTGCTCTGCAAAATAGGGATCTGTACCGGAACCACTCGCTGAGAGGTAATGAACAAGGGGACGGAAGTGCTGGTGGGAATAATACTGGAGTCCAGCCACTAGCGCGAGTATTACGGCGGCCAGCACCGCTGGTCCATACGCATCCCGCAACATGAATAGCCCAACAAGGAAAAGGTCTAAGGTATAGACTCCCACGAACAGGTGTTGCAGTGCTTCCCAATAGAGTAGGCCTGCAGTGCCCACGGGGCTTTCCAAAACATAAATGACCTGATAGGCATACGTGACCCAAAGAGTCCCGGAAACGAGGGTGCCCACGGGAAGAATAAGAGGAGACGTTACAGAGAATATCATGCCTGTCAATACAGAAAAATCAGTGAATGCTATGATCGGGTAACCTGCGTTGGTCTTACAAATGCAGAGAAGATTTGTCAGAACAGGATAGATTAAGTTCCAAGTGATCATCGTGCGAGTGGATTTTCTCGGTTTGGTCGTCAACATATCCCAGAGGCTCCGTGGGAGCTGGAAGAATGATAAAACACACTGAGTGACGGCCTGCATTAGCAAGTATGAGTAGAAGTAGTCGCAAGCTTTGGGTAGATTTCGGGCCAGTAGAGCGGGTATGGCCTGGATATCTCGTATCATGTCTGGAATCATTGTCGTCAAGCTGGAGGAAATCGAAACCACGAGGAAGACCTGGATGTAGAGGAAGAAAAAGTAGTGCCTCTGGACAAGGACCTGTCGCGACGCATCACTGTAAACACAAAACAACATTGAAAACCACGATATCATCAGCGGAAAGCCGCACATCAATGCGGCAAGAGCGACCTGTGGCAGGAGCGCTTGAATGAGGCCCAACTGAAATTCCGACAGCCGAGCCACGCATGCGCTCACTGACTTCAAGTAGACCACCTGGGACAGTAACCCGGTCATAGCGATGGGAACTACCCATAGCAATGAGCAGGATATTAGGAACACAGTGGTTAGACAATTTTGAATCATGACTGAAGTTCCGCCCCTGCAGACCCTTGCATCAATGGTGGCAGATTGGTCAATGACATGGGTAACCACGGTAGACGGCTTCTGTCCTAGCTGAGCTTGCAGACAGAGATGTGCGGCTAACAGAGACGGAAATTGTACAATGGCAATGCTCCGGAAATGCTGCAGCTCATTTCTCAGGCGTTGCATGCGTCGTTTCACGTGAAATCTCGACATCGTCCGTACAAACCGATCTTTTAATTTTCCTCTGCAGTCCTGTATTGGCTGGTGCACTGCACTGCAGAGAAGCTCATTGTATTCCGCCTCCTTGATCACACGCTTGCTCTCCAGAGGAAAACTGACTTCAGCATGATTGCAGAACGGAACGAAGATCTGTGTCAGGATTTCTCGGTCCTGGATGTCTGCGGGAATGTCGGTGACAAGGATTGGGGGAATGACTGCTGATCGTGCCATCCGGCGGAGATACTGCTGCCTTATATTCGTGATGACATGGAACTCCTTCCACAGGACGTGGCAGACATATAGGTGGAGAAACAGAGCTACAGTGGCGATAATCCAGCAACGTGCGATCTGACCTTGCTGTACATTGGAGATACTCAGCTGGTCAAGTCCTGTTACTGCAGCGTGGCCGGCAGTATAGTAGACCGGCAGCAACGCGGGCAGGACAAAAATAGATGGTACAGTAAGTATTTTGAACGCTACCTGCAAGAAACGCAGGACCAAATAACTGTCCAAGCCGTGATTGATTTGAAGAGTATTCGAGTCTTCGGTCACTGTTCGCAGCTTCCTAAGCCAACTGATGCCCCGTGGCAGTGGCTCTATTGTTGGATCATCTATGCAACTCGGCTGGCTGTTCAAATTATCATCACGGTGTTACTGGAGGGAAATGGCGGTCTTGCACGTACAAGATCGCGTAGCTCACATTTTTCAGCCAAGTAAATAAGCCGGCAGATGCTATGATTAGACTGCCGTAGAGGCATACCGAGATCAAAAACGATTGCGCAGAGAGGCCCTGTTCTTTTTGGGCTTTGCCTGCAATCGAATTGAGGGTCTGATTCACGACGTCGAGATTCATTGCTGTGCGTGAAGATCAGTGGCAGGAGCGCTACAATTGAGAAGGAAAATCAATGGAGCGGTAAGGACGCATTTGTATGCTTTCTCGCTGGTTAACCGACTCGATACGGAGGGCGCAAAGCGAGCAGTGGCTACTGGTTAAAGTTTGTTTATGATGCCCTCGGATTTTGAGAGCCTCTTGACTATGTTACTTTACCAGCCAACTTGGCGAGTCTGATTCTCAATCTTGAGGTTGCATGGTAACTGGCACGGGCTGGTCGGCTTTTAAATCGGTCTGAAGTCTCGAGAAGTATGTTGTTGCTGATCCCGAAATATCCATTTCTCTCTCTCAATTTCCCTACGCGTGGTAATTATGGCCGCGTTTACCGTACGGGCTTTTTTCACTTGTCTCTTCCTAGTCAATGCATGCTCGGCAATTATCATCTATGGAGATATTGAGTGGCACGATCTAGCATCCGGCATCGAATCTAGTTCTCTCAATTCCAGCATGACTTCGCAGCATGTCCATGGCGACCCCAGCATGTACCGCCCTTCAGTAGTCAATGGGGGTATCGGGTCTACTGTGGAGACTACAGTACATCGGCTAAATCACTCTACTGCAAATGCCAATAGACACACGCAGCATTCCACCATTGGCCTCACAATTGTTCCTATTAAAACATCGGCCTCTGCTTCGCTACGAAACCTGTCTAGGACAATTATTCACTGGAACAAACCAACGCAAGCCATCACAACCACTCGATCCACCCATAACAGCCCCCAAAGTATTTCAGACCAGCCAAGCATTACCACGTTCGCAGCGAAGGAAAGTAGCGACGTGCGGTTTCAGACAAACTTCGCAACCGCAACTCACGCAAAGATGACCCCATCACCATCATCCAGCGTTCAGGCCAGTCCGGGAGCTTTGACTTCGACCGGAACTCCCTTGCTCGTTAAATGGAAAGCCTTTTTGAGCTTTCTCATTGGTCTCGCTTCACTGCATGGGTTTATTATCTAGATGCGTCCATTGTTGACCCACGTTCCAGACGTATATCACAGTGAGATACAGTGAGATTAATTATCAAGACATGTTATCCGCAAGCTTTTCCATCGCTTCATCACCTGATATAGGTTCCATCAGGCAAAGAAAGATAACTATCGAGATATGTGTTTTTAACAACAAAATTGAAGACCAGTCACCTGGAGCACTCACCGATTCCTTTTGTGTATCGAGAATGATTAGAGTAGACTCGATGTCTTGTAGTGGCCCAAAGCTAAAAAGACCAAGCGAATGGATGCCATACCGAAGCGGGGCCGCTGTTGAATATGCGGCAAGCTTTTCTGATTCCATGTTGCTATGCGTCTTAGAGAGATGCACCGTCACAACACTGTCCATGTACCAGGGACCATGTATCAAGAATTCAGGTTCTCATAGCTATCTTTCAACTTGTACACATCGCATTGACGCGTATGATATCAAGTGATGCATGTGCACACGAAAGGTGTAGTGAGGAAGAGGGTTATAGGATACTGAAACGAACATGATCTCGCAGCACGCTTAGCGAGGGCATTTTGTAGCTTACTATTCTTATCTTAAATAAGGACTTAGATGAATTGTGAAGCCAACTCTATGCTCAATCGTCTCGAGAGGCATCACCTGCGACTTGAATTCATGCCTTCTGTATTGAAAGCTGCTAGAATAGAGGCAAATACAAGCACTCTGGACATAAACTAATTGAATAATCCAGTGCATATAAGTCGTCACAACAACTTCCAAGCTGCCGTCATGCGCTGGCTTCTTCACGTTGTTCTGTGATATATTCCGTCAACGCTTTAACGTGCTCCCACATTTCGCGCGCGCACTGATATTCCTCCCTACGCGTAGATTATTATTCTGAGCTTAGGGCAAACAGTATGAAGATGTCAAGGGCGGGTATTCATGCTACCTTCGTTCTCGTTGAATATCATCTTGTTTCTGTTTGAGCGTCGCGTATTGATGCTCGAGCCTTGACCCCGCAGGATGCCTTTCAGTGGTCTGTCTGAATGATACTTAAAACGGGTGGCCTTTGGTATACTGACCGGTGAAGCCTATCGACAAGTTCGCTGTTCTGCGTGAGCCGCTGTGAGAGAAGAGCAAGATCCGCAAACGGAAGCCTTACGAGAGTTCCTGCTTGCACTGTTTATTGACTCCCTCACTAGAATTTCACCAGGTTAGCCTGAATGGTTTATGATGAGGGACTCTATGTATGGGCATTATGATTGGTGCCGTCTTGTGGTGGTGAGTACAGAAGGTGAGTAGGAAGGACGGTGCGACCCCACAACCTACTTATCAATGGCATTGCTATCCGTGCTGTTTGTCTGATTCTGACGGTCATGATGGCAGGCTGGAGTTGTTTGAGGCTCGAGCTTGTCCAGAGGAGGTAATGCAAAGGTGACTGAACTACTGATGTAGTCGATCCAAGGGTCGTGGAACGCCATCTTTATTGGAAAGACGTTGACAAGATAACCAATTCAATAGGATTCATCGATTTTGTTCCACCGTGCCTTCGAGAAATCACACCTGATAATGTCAAGACTCTCTGAAAAGGACGGCGGAAAGGCCTTGGTCTTATACATCTCGTGTCGATGATGCCTTTCCACCAATAAAAGAGGGCTCAGGAATGTGCGAGTTGTAACAAAGAGAATCAGAAACAGATCTATACCTATTAGTGCCTTCAGGACATGCACGATGACGGGCTTTGGTTGGATGAGTTGATTAATTCAGCCTGCCATTGTGGTCAAATGTTGTGTCCAATGTTATGTGATGCCCGCACTCTTCGGCCAAAATGCAGAGTTTCCCTTGTCGATTGTTATAATTGTCCATCACAGTAACATAGCTATGTGTTGGTCTCATTGAAGCCGGTACTGACGGTATCGTCAAGGATCATTGGAGCACCGCTTGCAACAATTATGTGGCAGCATGGGGACCAATGAACATTACCATACCTTATATGCGTGAAGATGATGATAAACTTGCGAGTGCATGCCTCCACAGAGGGAGTTCGCTAGAGCAAAGACTGTATATCCTAGGCAACTGATACACGGCCTGCATAAGATCGAATGGACCTTTGGGTTTCTTGAAAAATAAACATGACTAAACAGCGTGATTAACAATGCTGTGCTCGTCCCAGTGTCTTCAGTTACCTTGTGCGGAAGTGAATAAATTGCCTAATACCATCCCACAGATTCATTCATAAACATCATTCTCCAAGTGTAGAAGAAGCGACTCGCTCAGATCTTAAGTTCCACCAAAGCTTTGAGTAGCGGACTGCATGGGCAATGTATTGAGGAAATGAGCTTAAGTGTTACGAGTGTTGGTCTATTAAGCTGATAGAACCTTCATGATGAATCTATCCCGATGACAGTGCTTTTCGAACAAATGTGGTCGACTCCGAAGATTCTCCGCCCACAGGTCGAGGATTCATGAGCATTTCTGGTGATTGGGGTTCGTCCCTAAGCTCCTCTATACCTTTTCGCAAGAATTCTTCATCCAACTCGATCCGCCAGTCATTTATAGCTGAATCGATCATCCTTCCCCTCCGAAGAAATACTTCCACGACGGATTCGAAATCTCGGCAAACGTGTATCAAACTCGGAAAACAATTTTGGATAAATATGGCAATTCCATGGGCTCCGTACGGCGGAAAGTTGCGACTATTTCTGCGCTTGGAATCAATATCACGCCCACCGACATCAGGAGCCGGGTAACGTGACTTACATTTGAGCGTCCATGCTCGCACCGCACGTGATCAAGATCCCTGGACCCAGGAACTGGGCCAGCTCGCACCATCGGCGACCGACTCGCTTCCGTGCGTGAAACCTGTCGCGAACATTTTGCTTGGTCTGCTCACTGAACTGCTCCCACTCCACGTACGCATGTCGGAGAAGCACGTCGGCTGCTTCAGTCTCTAGACCGATTCCCTGATCGGCTTGTCGGGAGCTGGAATTGGCTCGAAGGGCTTTGATCTGCTCATCGTGCCAATAGCAGAGTCGCACCCGCACCAAGCGTCGCATAAGGATTTTGGCCATTTCATCCTCGTACACCTCAGCATCAATCATGTCCAGAGAGCGTTGAATCGACAGTGCATGGTCACCAACGTTTGAATGAGACGTTAGTGGCCACAAGCCACTTTTGAGCCATCCCAGAAGGTGCTGATCAATGAATTCAACAAGATCTTCTCTCAAGGCGGCTTGAGCGGCTTGCACAATGACTGAGAGTTTGTCGAAGCCTGGTGTGCTGGTTTCATTATCGTCGCCAGGAGCTTGGTATGCGGACATGATCTCCAGCCCTCGATGATATTTTGGCTCGATCCTTGCCTTCGCGGCCTGGAGTGCTGCTGTGATTTGCCAGTCATCCGATCTGTTCATAAATGCTATATATGGATCCTCCTCTACCGACGCCGTGCACGGCCCCGAAACGTCAATTTGCAAGTCTGCAACCTGCACGCCTGATGCTTGTCCGTTATCGGATCGGGGTCCTATCGCAGGATTCACGGTAGGATGACAATGGTCGACATTTGGGCCTGTTAGCCCAGCCACAGATGAATAGGGTGTGGAAAGCGGTTGAACAAAGGAATCTGGATGAAATTAAGGTCTTTGTCAACTTTGGAGACGTAATTCCATCTTCGACTGTCCTAGTCTCCAAAGTATGTCGATCTCCCTGAATCTTCTCACACAGAGGCTGACTTACGGTCAATTTCAAACAAAGTCGGATAGCTTCTGCACAAATACACCGCTATAGCGTGCTGCTGAGCTCTGCTTTGCTCTATCATCCAAATCACATGAGCGACGAGCTGACTTGCTACCTAGTTGCAAAGCAAGGCTTATATTAGCTAGTTTCGACACCTGACAGACGGGCTAGTGGGAGTTTCTTGTACTAGAGCATTCTGTGGCTCCAATGCTTCAGCCGGCTCTCTGTCCTCTATCTGCATTCGCCAATTAGTCAGTGATTCTCGAAGGGGGAGTATAGACTCCTACGGGAAACCTTAGAAAAAGGTGCTTCATCGTACACGGATCGCAGGCTAGGCAGAGTGTGATAGGCAGGCAAGTGTTGCTGGTATAGTAGCGAGATTGTAAGTCTTTAAAAGTGCCGCAACGCAACGACAGCTGGAAAGACTAGAACCGCCCAGCACAGCTCGATGGTTTATTCGAGACGTCCAACTTCTTCAACCGGCTGCATTTTATGAGATCAAATGAAAGGGCCTCTTGTAAGAAAATGAGTGCATCTCGAATGACAAGATCGCGGGATGGGCCATATCCAGTCTCGCATCTTCCGCTCCATCCGGAGTTTTTAGTGGCCAGCATTAAATGCACGCGATGAAAGGGGTATGTTTTACAACTAAATGGAAAAACGCCTCTAAGTGGAAAAAAGCATTCTTGCGTTCTGCGCGCAGGTTGAGCCCCAATAGAGTGCGCATGCTGCTACTGCAGCTATTATAGGCACATGACATGATTAATCTGTCAGCGGCAGCTGTAAGACGCGTTTGCAGTGCCGAGAACCAGGTTCCAAAATACTATTACATTTACAACCCGCAAAAAGATCAATTATACCGTGAGAAAATCGAGTGTCTTGTTTTTCGGCAATCCGGATTATAGTTGCTGTAGTTCTGCGTTAGTCATTGTCTACTTTCCTGATTCATCACTATGTGACTGATGACCACGACAACCTGTCTCAATGCCGGTTATCGTACAGAAGGGCTTGATTGTTGCCAAACTAGACAATTCAATCTTCGTCGAGAATGTCCATCAGTCCCGGAAAGACTAGTTCAAATGCAATGAGCTATTCCTATAATGTAGACAGCACATTCGCCATTGTCTCAGCAGAATCAGAGCTGGCGTAAGAACGTCTTAACATAGCCACATTCAAACTAAATTGCGACGCAGCTATCCACACATTATGTACCTGATCATTGGTGATATTGAGTGTTTTGGAGTAGCTCTTTCCAAGCATCTTCCGCCTCGCGCGCCCGCCCTGCCAACGCATCCGTCCGCTGCTGCATTCCAACGGCAACGTCTGCTACTGAGACAAACTGTTGCTGTGACTTGAATTGAGTTAAGCTCTCGATGATTGACTTCAAGGGTGGGGAGGGCTGCGAACTGAACCGGCTGAGATGCTCTTCCGCCTGGCTCAACGAAAGGCCGGGCTGCGAATAAAACAGGTTTAGCAACTTGACCGCATCCGACAAGGATGGAACCCGCTCCGAGCAGTATCGGACCAAAGTCCGCTCCACCAGTGCCAATGCAGGATCGGGGCTGGCAAGACGCTTCAACAACTCAGGAACATCGCCAGTGGTAGGCAATGGCTGAGAACAGTGGAGTCTTAGTAGCGCAAGGAGTTGATTCCTCGAGGGTAGCGGCTGGGAGCCGCAATTCAGGATACTTTCACATTTCTCTACATCTAGTCTCGGATCCAGGTAGAATAGGCACAACAGCTCGATCGTTTCCTGGAAAGGGAGAAACGATTGCGAACAGTAGAGGTCGAGAAGCCCTTGGATTCCACCGAGGGCAGCCATCTCGCCACAGTAAAGAGTCAACAAATCGTTTATGCCAGTGCGAATCATTTCCTGGAGCTCCTTGAAAAGACGATAGTGTGCCCGGTACAGACGATTTCGGCCGCGGTGCCATCCAATTTCGCGGATGAGATCTAGTTCTCGTTCCATCATGGCTGTCGAATCGTGGTCCAGATGCCAAGCAAGCTAAAATGCTTAGTCTTTTGGAGCAAGTTCTGCCGATTTGCGATTACATTAGGCGGTAGAATAGATTCTGAATGGTATTGCATTCAGATCTTTAACGCAACAAACTCCGTTGATCCTGGCCTTGATAAAGCTAGGCAAGTAATATATAGCCTTGTCCGAAAAGCTCCCATGCGGCATGATACACGGGGAAAGAAGTGGCCACATTATTATGCCCCCCGTTCAGTCAGAAACCATGAACAGGGAACATAAGCATAGCCCCTCTAAAAGAGAATCTCGTATGGACCACGTCACAGTTGATCTCTTCTCTCCATCAGAAATCCTTTGCGCTCTGGTATACCTGCGGTTTGTCTTAACCGGATATTTGAGGTCCTATGATTTTAACCGAGGCTGATTGAGATACGAGGTCGGCCATCAATCCATGTTCGAGTATCGGCGCATTTTTTAGGGTTACCGTTCGTAGATTCGGAAACGACGGACGCTTGCGCATATATGTCATCGAGCTCGTTGGGTATACTGTGTGGTCAGAGAATTGAAGGTCCAGCCTTTCCAGAGAACCGGAGTTATGTCGCATGCACGTATCAAGTATGAAAGCATGCCTTCTGGTGGAGATGCCGTGCCATACCAGAGTTCTGAGGTGGCGGAGTTTGACAAGCCCATCGACATTGATGTCTTTGGAAATGATACAACCACCATCGACTCGGTCATTTGCGCCTCTTGTATAGAGCGCAAGCGACGAGAGCTGGGGCTGCGATTGCGGGATGTAGCCCTCCAAATCCAGGATCCCTTTGGGCAGCCATGAGTAGCTCCAACTGTATATATCTTAGCCGAGCACATGACTCTGAAGTCGTAGAAATTGCTTACGTAAAATTCATGAGGTGACCAGCGCTGAGCCGGTTGAGGAGGAGTGTGACACCCTGGATGAAGCTTTTGGGAAAGAGCATGTCGTGTCCCGACAATTGCGAGCTGCCCGGTATGCGATGACAGCACAGACGCTCCTGCGCTGGAGACTCGGCCATAAAAGCCAACCCTCTTAGCGACGATAGCAAGACGTGGGCTTCATACCGGTCATGGCGCAAGAGAAAACACGCTATTCCCGCAAGTGGTTTTCCATGCGGCATGACAATACATAGCTCTCGGTTGTCCGCATCCGCTTCGGCTAGACAAGCCATCGCAGGTTGTGGCCCCATGCCTCGCAAGTTTATTGACAGACTATCGAATGCACCACTTGAGTCGACGGTGGATGGGATGGGATGGAAACAAGCGAGCTAAAAGTGCTCGAATAGACTTCAATTGAGTTTGAGATTGTGGAAGCATTTTGCTCGAAATTCGGGCCCAGAAGCGGCATCTTTCTGGAAGAATAGCCGACATATCTAAGCACAATACCCGTCGCCTTCACGGGTGCAAGGATTGCGAGAGGATATTGTAATGATCTCCCGCAAAATTAATAATAATGGTACTAAAACTCCCCTTATTCAACAGATTGATCTTGGTTTGGAGGACAATTAAACAGACTCGTGAGCGCGCCAGATGATTGATGAACGATAACTCAAGGAGCAACGCTTGGTTGATCCAGCGTTCCGCCGCTTGCCAGCCGCCCTCAACCCGAATCGTCGGCAATCATTCTATTCACACTTCGTTTATGAGGAAACCAACGCGACATCTGCAGACCTATGGATCTGTTCAACAAGATCGATCAATGTTTGAAGTCCCAACCGCGACTTTTAGACTGAAAGCGAAACGCGGAATGGCTGGCCGCTCCTAATCCCGTATGTAGATCTGTAGGACAGAAAGTGTCTCGGCTTGGTACAAAAGATACTCGAAAACCCTTTGCGTCTAGTCTCCTCTACTGTTTTTCAAAACACCGAGACATTTTCTTATCTCTAATATTAATTGACAATGTGGAATCTCGACGAAGCGGAGTGTCATTATCACGACAGCACAATGCCTCGTGTCACTGAAATGCCGGCGTCAACCCCCTCGTTTCCACATCCGACCCGTACCTTCTCCTCGGAGTGCTCTTCTTGCAGCTCTAGTGTCGGGACCCTCGATATATATGATTTGTCTTCCGCATATGTCAGAGCAAAATATACCATACCTGATGACGCAGCCTCCATGCCCAGCTGGCAAACATGCCATCTTCTCTGCTCAAAGATCATGTCCCGACTGCTCGCTGCCGAGCTGGTTCGGAAAGTCGATGCCTATTACTACGGCAAAACGAATGATTTACGCACCGGAATGGTCTTATTATTGACAGCTCATCGTCGGCGAGAGGGCTGGGTCCAGGCCGATGTATCCTTGGCCGATGGTACCCTGATCAGCAGTGCCTTCGCTTTGTGCGTCCCGAAACCCACCCAGGAAAGTCGAGTCCGGTCCCTGGCATCTCCGATTGCTTTCAAAGACCCTCAGATTCAACCAACTACAAACGACTTCAGATTTCCGTTTGCCAAGCCAATTCGAAAACCAAGCCCGCCTTCGGATGACTTTTGATGACCAGGCCCTAGTGCTGATGGCTCTTCGGCAGATTCCGCGCTACTCCATGGCTACGGATTATTACCATGCGGACCATCGGGGGGGGGAAATATTTGACCAATTGTTCTCGCTGTGGATACTAAATAATTACTTCAAAGCGCATGAAGCGCATGAATCAGTCTCAAAAAAGCAGTGACGGTTCGCGCAAGTTCAATGAGTTCCTTATTCTTGTCCTCCATGTTACGTGTCACACCGTGCATCTGTTCTCTTGTTTCTGCCGCTGAAGGGCTCATTGTACATTCTGTAATTGCCTGTATTTCTGGGTATGAAGGTCCATTAATGTCTAGCCTCCATTGAGAAATAGTTCAGTTCCACAATCATTTCACCTTATATCCTCAAAATACTTCTTCACCCAAGTCATTGAGCCTCGACGAAATCCCAAGGCCCGACCTTGGATCAAGCCTACGCCGAACTGGCTGTTTCGAACAAGACAGACTTTACAGAAAAAAAAAAGATTTCTCATTCGTAATAACAACTTCCTCAGTCAAAGAGCTTGTTTCTTATATGCTCGAAAGCAATAGAGGTGTAAACAAAATAGCCGCGTCATAGAAAAATATGCTAGACGAACAAAGTCAACTTAAATGTGAAAATCAAAACAAAAACAACGCGCAATATCACCAGATGTAGACATCAAAGAAACTCAAAATCGCGATGTGATCAAATTTGCACCTGCCCAATACACGTACACCAGACATAACCAATCATATGCGAGCAGCCTGCCGGAGAGATAACCCTGGGGACTCGGCCTTGAGTCGTAGCCCACTTGCTAGCCGCCGATTTCGAGATGATACCGGTAGGAAATCTGACCCATACATCTCAGGCTCAGCTGCTCATGGGCTCTGGTGTGACTTCCACGGCACTATCTTCCCGCCAACGTCGCTCATGCTCATCTAACCCCTTCCTGACTTCCGTCGCCACAATTTTGTTGATATCGGCGAGCTCAACGCTGGGTTTATTCTTCATCTCCTCCCACGCTTGCGATATCCCCTGCATTTGCTCAGAGAGTTTGCGTAGCACAGACTCTGTGTGCTTGTTATTAGGCGCCGGATGCTTCGCCTGCATCTTGGCTTCCAGGGCAGATGTTGCTTTTGCTACTTCCTCGGCGATGCTTGAACCGATATCCTTTGCGAGAGTTTTCTTCATCTCATCTAATTTCTTGTCGGTGTAATCCTGTAACCTTTTCGTGATGCCCTCTTCATCCGCAGTCTGCGTTGGGGTTGTTTTGATAAAGTCGGCGAGCTTTTGGTCCACCAACGCTTCGACCGTTTGCTTTGAAAGATCTTCGGTCGAGGCCTGACTCCGAGTAGGTCGCGACACTCTCTTCTCGCGCCGGCGCTTCAGCTCTTCTTCGTTGTCGGAACATGCCTCGTTCAGTTCGGTTTTCTTTTTGGCGGGAAGGGGTAGCGAGGGGATCTTATCTCTGCTACAGATCTCGCCAATCAACTGCTGGGCCCTCTTGGGCGTTACCATTTTCTTGAACTCTGTGGAGTTGAAGAAAAGGGGGTTCCTGCGCTCCTTGACGCGCACACAGCATTCCAGCTGACCGGACCTGAAATCTAGACTCACATTCTCAGTGGCGGGCCTCAGCGGAGCCACAAACTCCAGCCTCTGGAAGGTAAAGTTCGAGGCCTTTCTTTCTTCACCGGTAGCATCGAACACACATTTTGGTCCCTTCTTCTTTTCCTTTTCCCAATCGGCGATCTCGGTCTTGTATTCTTCTTTTCTGGTCAACCGCCGTTGGTAGAAGATAGCCGATCCATCTTCTTGGGCTTTTTTGGCCGCATTCACCGACAGCCGTTTCCCATTCTCATCCACTTGATACTCGACGACGTAGTAACTTATCTTGTTATCACCCTTTCCTTGAATTTGGGTCTTTTTCTGGGCCAAGAGTACACCACCATCGGCTAACCTCCAGGATAACCATGGCCATCTGGGCCCGTTCAGCCCCTCCACGCCCCACGGAACATTGGCAATCTCATACTGCACAAAGTCCCCAGATGAACCTTGCCTCTCTCCCCGAATATACTGATGCCCGGCATTCTTGGTTGTGTTTGTTGAGTCTCGGTCTTCGGTATCGTCGCCTTCGTCATCTTGTTCAGTATCTGACGGTGATCTGTCCTGTCTCTCAGTTTGCGCTTCGCCTTCGTCTAAGTCCATTTCCGCATCATTGTCGGTCGCATCTTGCGTCCGGCTTGCAGGTGGGGATTCCGTCTCCTCGTGCTCAGGCACATTGAGCTCAGCGAGCTCTGAAGTGCAAATAATTAGTGGAGCGGTCCTGAATGAAGTAGGCGTACTCACTTTGCCAGCCCGCTGCTGCCCCCTCGATCCCAATCTCTTCCGCTACTTTTAATATCTTTTCCCACTCAGCTTTTGCGTCTGCTCCTTGCAGCTCAAAGATCGGAGGAACATTTTCTTCAGCCTCCTGCAGAAACTTGATTTTATCTTCTAGTGGACCACGAAGCTTGCCCATCTGCGGGCCGGTCAATTTTCTTGTATATTGTCGAATGGCATCGGGAAGACTCTTCTCAGAATTCCCAGAGGACCCGATATGTTCTATTTTTTTGTCATCAAAAAGTTTAACATAGAGCTCGGTTTGTAGATGAGTAGTGGGCATGCTGTTGGACAATAAGTGGCGTGGCACCGACGTGTACTTTTGTATGCTGTTTGACGGAACTATTGCTGTGACTGTTGCGTCCGATGGTGAAGCTATTGACAAGGTGTCTATACTTATATAAATCCAAAACTGTGAGCTTGTGATTCAAGAACACAGGGTCGAGGTGCCCCAGAAAGAAAAAGCATGGATACTGGATTCAGAGTTGACTTACTGGCGCTAGAGGTGACATTCTATCATCTGAGGGCAGTCTAAAAGGTCCTTCCATAAGTAACCTCACGTACAATTTTCTTGGTTCATCACGGAAGGAGCTCTGACGGGGCATCAGAAACCGGAGCCCCCCAATACGTCAACTTTAGGCTGCCACGTCTATGAACGACTCCTGTCGAACGAATCCTGAGGGGGTTGGAATTTTCGTTACCACTTTAGAGCTTCTCGGAATATGTTACTGACTGAATTATCTAAAGGTTTCTGACCTTCTCGAAAGTCGCGTTTGTTTATACCTTTAGACCCTCTCGCACTAAATCTTAACCCCCTCCGGAGCTGATAGCCCGCAAGGCTTAGCTCTGGTCCCCCGCTACTATTGGAAGCCCTAGTGAAATAAAGGACATCTTCTACCCCGGTGCCAATTACAGCTGATCAACCCTAGAAACCAACGAGGAGGTTATCTTACCGATCTTCTAACATGAGGAGAATTGGTGCCTGATGCTTGTTATCTTGTAGCCCAGCCTACTTTCCACGACTCATATATAAGTTTGGTCTTCAGGTATGTCCAAAATAGTATTAGCACCTGCGACATCTGGTTCTATTTCAGGGATTTTCTGTCTCCGGCAGGAGTTGAGAACATCCTTGGTAGTGGTCTCAAGACCTGGCACCAGATAACCAAAGGCAACAGCTGGCTAGAGTATGTCTCAACGCTTGATCGATTTTCTCCTGATCTTATCGGCGATAACTTAGCGCTTATCGTCCGGGAAAATCTTTAAACTGTCTATACCTTGCCCGGATCTTGAATTACTATTCCGGTGATCTAAGACACGAGAGTCAAAAGTCTTTTGCGCTACTTCGAGATGGCTGGGAATAAAATAAAGACAGATATGAGATTAGATTTCCATTCGGGATTACCCTCAATGTTTTCGATGTAATCGAAGGTCACGAAGCGATAAAACCACCGTTGGAGAAAGTTTTCCCCAACACAAGGAATGGTGTTTATAGTACTCGCAATATTGTTACTACAAAAATGCGGTGATAAAAGAAATACATACCGAGGACATAAAGTGGGACCCGGAATACAGAACACAGCGGTTTACACGTGGTTGGTGGAACGGCTTTGCCCGCAGGGGTAGGGATATAAAACATGGCTGCAAGTTTGCTCTACAGACTCATGGAGAGGAAAAGATCTATCTTCTACTGCCAAATCGTGTCAAAAGCAATATTTGGGCAAAATGAGATGATACATACACCAGCGAGAATGGTCTGCTCGATGTAGGTATTTAGCACCATGGTAGCAATCAGGTTTTTTTTCGGAGAATTAGTATTCCAGGACGAGGGCAAAAAGCTGGCTAACTGTCATAACGAAGCCGAGCGCTCTCTTCATCTTACTTTGCGAACTAGAACATCATACAAACACCATACTATAAGATTGATAAATCGTAAGAAATGAGTACGGATTTCAGTGGTTTGGCTGACCTCATAACGTATGCTACAACATCGCAGCACTTTGATTCCTGGCCTTGTCCGTTTCTGTTCCCTGGAGAATACTTTTGCATAGAATTGCCACAAAATCACGCAGGCTACCACTCTCCAAATTACTCATCGTTTTCAACAGATCGTTGCATGCAGAACCCTCTATCAGTCGACAGCAATATGACAATGGGACTTGATATAACCGCGGTGAGAGTTCCCATTGCATAGCTAATTCATACACAGCCGCGTGCTGCACCAGAAGTGGTCGTGAATCTGTTTCCTGATTTAGTCCTTGTTGGTTGACTTGCGAAGCACGACTTACCTTTGATCTTAGTGTATGGGCACGGCCCTACCGTGTACTTCTGACAGTATATCAACTGCAGCGTCCTCCATACGGTATGTATATCGGCCTGTGAAACAACGAGTTCCATTCTTCGTAAGTCGACCGAAAGATGCTGAGACTGGCGACGAAAGTATGGACTCTCAGTCATCAAAATACTCGAGTGGGCGGCGATTCGAGCTCCGTTTGCCACGATAGTCACAGTGTTGCTATCCTGCGTGACCAAAGGACCGGTCGGAGACCAGAGGTCAGAGCGGCCTCTCCGATAAAGAGATTGAATGAAAGAGATATTGAAAGGCATATCGAGCGTTACGGATAATCACTTGTGATCAGGGTCGGTAAGATGGAATTATGTTTCTGATAGATCCTAAGACATACTTAAGAGATGCTTCACGTGTCAACCGCACATGTCCACCCTCATTTAGGATTAGTTTCGTGACAAATCTCTTAGTATCTAGAAATAACACCTTTAAGCTCAGCGATAAGTGTATCCCCGAACAGTAAATCGTTCTTGCTTGATATTGCAACACCTGATGCAGGGGTTTTTTCTGTTCGCTGTTGAACCGGATCAAAGCGTTGAACGCTCAGCCAGGTCCATGCGGATGAGCGAATTCGCATGATCGTTCGTTGCTGGGACCAATTCAATGATCAATCTAAGCTGTTGAAGCTCCGTACATGTCATTATGCATCTTCTTCTTTGTGGGTGGCTTCCTTATTCTCCAGCCTGTCCTCCAAATCGATTAATCAGAGCAAATGATCCGAGCATGCCTGATCAACGAACATGTGCATTACAACGAACTCAGGGTTCATGCGTAAATTTCTCCTCGCACGTATGGCTCCGCTGCATCGACCCTAAAATTTGAGAGGTAGGAATCATTGATCACTGTGACGAGAAAGAAATAGCTATACTACACCTCTTACAATAGTTGATACTGCCTATGGCATAGGCCCACGCCCAGAAGAGATCGCCACATATGTGGCTAGGAGGATAATGTCAAACCCATTGCTCGCCATTGATGAATTTCCAAAGTGTAGAGGCTGACCAATTCGAGAGATATCGGTGCATGAACTGTTACATTATATTTCCATCTCATATTTTGCTCTAACACATAGCGTAACACGAATAAGTGTTCTGATTACACAAAAGATCTTGTTATACATGCGAGTTGCAGGACAGGCACACGCTTCACCTTTTGCTCTTGTTCGAAGACAGAAGTACAGAAGGGGATCTTCCACTCAATGCCTTTTCCATATTCATTAAGAGGTTCATGATGCGTGCTGACTTCTTGTTTCGCATGATAAGATGCAATCCGTACGCATGCAGTTGCCTACTGGCCCGTCTCCGTATGGTGGTCATGAGTAGACGACGAATCTGGGAACGTTTGGCATCACTTGGTCGTTCCATTATTTCCTGCAAACATCCCCAAGCAAATCTTTTATGCGCAGGGCATTTATGATACTTCCATTCACGGAATGTTGCAATCGTACCACCCTTCTGTGATTCAGCGACCAACAGCGAAGGTTCACGAGCCCGATCAAGCAGCCGGAGAGGTACCGAAGGATGATTGGCCTATTTCATCTCAGTCTATCATAAACATTGCCTTAAGATATGGCTTAAATACCATCTGAATCATCAAATCCTTCATCGAAGCTTGATGATTCGTGGTCAGAGTTTCGCCCACAACGGGTCCGCAAACATCATGTTCTTCCTCGGTAAGGGAATACTTCCTCTGAACATTTTCTAGGTGCAAGTTGATCAAATTTGCCACCATCAAGATAAAGCATCTCTCGATGAGATTGGGTTCAGCGCGCACGTCGGCAGGGTCCATAGATAAACTCTTTTCCAGTTCAGAGCAGGGAACAAGCACATGTTGCGGGCTCTTCTGAATCTTATTTTCCACAGATTTGATCCTTGATGACATTCTGTGTGGCAGGCATCGATTGTAGACATACGACATATCCAGCAATCAGCCGGCTTTATATCAATGATCACATGATGTAGAGGTTACACAGGAATGGCCCTTTCATTTCGGGGCCCTGAGGAAGATTCGCCCTTGGCTTGGACTTTCTACAGGAGAAGACTTGGACTTTTCCTTCTCTGCAGCTCGAGTTTATAGTATAAAGGTGGGCTGAGGGAATTGATGTTGGGAATAACCCACGCACCCGGCTTTAAAGCCACTACGATTATGACGGGACACTCACACTGTACAAAGCCTTATTTTTACGGGGTGGCATAAATCTCTGACGGCTGCTCTTACTGTACTTGGCTGGGCGTATATACTGAAAAGGGGCTATGCTGGTCAAATCAAAGATAATAAGTTCATCCCACACGGTTTCTTGCTATGAGATGCAATATGCTATGTCAAGGATGAACGGGCGGATGGCGAGATCAGAGTGGGCAATATTCTAGGTCTAGAATGACAGAGACAATCTAGCTTTCTTTTATCTTGTACGTTGAAAACTCAAGCTTGGATTTCTTCCTGTTGGAGTAAATACCAAATATGAAACGGTCTGACTCTTAGCTCACAGTACATCAAATCCAACCAGGTACCGACGCTGCTGGAGAGATGTTCCAGTATCTTTTCCAGTCATTCTCTGCATTTTTCTCGCCGGCCTCGGCCTCATCGAGCGCAGCGATCAATTGTCGAATAGAATCATAGAGAAACGGATCTCCACAGGGAATAGTCTCAGGCTCAAAGTAGGACTGTAGGAGAAGCTGGTGTGTGATTTTCGAGGCCTTTGTACGCAGCGCTGAATGAAGGTCGTAGCAGACACCGTAAAATTGGTTCTCTTGCTGATGCTGGTCAAGCTCCGACTTCAGCCGCGATCGGAATTCATCAGTGGTCTCTGGCAGGGTGTTTTTTGCTGCTTGCATCTGCGGGTCCATAGCATTGGGGGCGACTGTCGCCCCGCTCTGGGATTGGATAACATAGTCGACCTCGTTAACTTCGGGGAAACAAGAATACCGATACTTAGACAGCCAGAAACGTTTTTGTTTCAATCTGTCTCTCACACGAATGCTAGACATGGCAAGTATGCGTGCTTGAAGCGGTCGAGACGCGCTAGACATGCCATGTGTCGTTCTTTTTATCCTTTCTGCACCTTTCGGGTGTCCAATTCCCCTCATTTCTCTTCATTCCTGGCCGGACAGCAGTAACTACTGTATTACATTCTATTCATAGACGCAAACCTTGCCTAGAGTTCCTGAACGGGTAGCCCACGTCAATATGCGTCCTCTGTACCATATGGATTAGTAAATCAGTGGGCCATAGACGAATCTACCACGATCTGACCATCTAGTAAGCAGATTTAAGTTACAAAAAGCTGCACATGATTCCATCCTGCTGAAGACGCACCAGTTGATGAATTAACGTATTCGGTTAGCACTCCAGAAATGCTGACGACTGCCAAGAACAAATTAGGGGTCAGGCCATAGCGAAGAATCAACAACACGTCCCAGAATAAGTTTCCAATTCATAGAGATTACTGAATCACAACCAAAGTCTTTCGGTGGTCGATAAACCTTCCTAGTTGGCTCTCAATTGTTTTCGGTGAGAGGCGAATTCGGCGCTCAGTATATGCTCCATCAGTGACTGCAGTGTACAACTAAGAGACAGTTCTTCTTAGATCTAAGGCGCTCGTAGAGAGGCGTATAATAAAAGAGGGCTTGTAGGCGAGGGCCTAGACTTTCCAGAATGTGCCGAGATCCGGTCATGTCCGCAACACCGCGAGATAATTCTCAAAAGAACATCTTTTTCCAGAGATATCTATAGTAGTAACGTCTCTTCCGCTCGGGTGGGGAAGTTTTGAACTAGATAATTTGCTGGGGTACGATATCGGCCGGAGTATAGAAGCATTTTCTGCAAGTGGAGCTGGAAGGCCCTCCGAGGATGTGCGCCGGTCGAAGGTAAAGGATATAGACCCAACTCTGGATCAAGGCGCTGGTTACCAGCAGCGATGTGACTTCTTTGCTGCTGTGGCCCTCCATTTGACGGAAAATTTGTGGGTCTGTGTACCGCAGTACGGAATCGATAGTTCTCAAACATTCAAACGATCTAGAGAAATAAAATGCGCATCACTATCGAGTAGACTATATCGTTGTAGCAAATACACACTGGGTCCGCACTGTTGCGTGCGGCCAACCGGCTTAGTGGTTGTAAGGAGCCAGGCAGCGCATTCCTAATTGAACAAGAAGGGATCTAAGATTCTTGAGAGTCAACTCGCAAGTCGTCATGCCTTGTAGCCTCATTTCTTCGTTGACAAACAGTTTCTAGAATAATCACCAAACCCTGCTCTTTCAGGCGCTAAATCAGCGCAGATGTGCTTTTAGATCGCGTGATCAGCTTCGCCTTCGCCGGCTGTTTGAAGGCCGTCCGGAGCGCGGTTGAGAGAAATCGAATTAGGGAGCAGACTAATGAACTTTCCCCAAATCAGCAAGGCGGAAGGAACTGCCGGAGACCCGAAGTAATGCGTCAGCTCTATTGTTCGCAGAAGACCGAGGTCGTTTTAGCCCGGTTGAGCCTAAATAGGATAAGCATTAACCGCCGATCCATGGTTCCTGAAACTCTGCGAGTCAGTCTTTCTCGAGGTGCTGCCATTGGCTGCCTTGTTCTCTCTACACCCTGATTTGTCCATTGGTTGAAAATAAAACTCCAGACTCCCCGGGTCGAGGCAGGTGGCTCACCAGCAGAGGTTTTTGATGGGAATCGTGGGCAATCTGTGTTGCTTCATCAGATTTCAGTAGATTCTGCCCTCCGATTGGAAGAACTACATTCTCGTCGCATCGCGTTGACGCTAATACCCAAGATCGCGCAGATGTAATAGGCATGTATTTAGGGTGAAGTTGTGCATGCAGAATGAAAACGGTACTACTACACTAGTCGCTGGGTAACATATATTCTCCTGCCGAATCTGTGGCGCGTGTCTCCCTTGAACCTTAGCTCTTACCAGGTTTGATAATACGGTATCTGTTCCTTGCGTATGCTATAGAAGATGAACGCTTATTGATCCTTTTAGACAGCTACAATAAAGTGGAGTCAGATCAGCTTCGGTTGATTAAATACTGATAGCATTCATTGGCTGAACAACCACCATAAGTCGATGACTAATCGTTCGTTACAATCTCTAACATTATCTGCCGATCAACTTTGGATTCGGGCCTTCGTCAAACGCAGATATACCTTTGGTTTGCGTGATCCGTTCTCTGCCTCTGCCAAGCTGATAAGGAGACATCTGGGGTACCAACGAGAGAAATGAGACATGAGGAATAGATTGATGAACTGTCCGCCAGCGTGTGCGAACGGAACAGGCGAAAGTTGTGCAAGACAATTGGAGAGAGCGCGCGGCTGTTTTAGCCTTGCCGAGCCTAAATGGGTTAAGCTTTGGGCATCCAATCCATGGTTCTCGAAATTCGGCGAGTCATTCAGCGTAACTTAGCTGCCCTCTCATCTCACCCGGTATTTATCCGATGGGTCGGCAACTTCACCCGACAGGTTTCTCCGTTTAAAGCACTGGGAGCTACTGAGAGCAGAGAGAGGTCTGATCTGAAGCACCACCTGACACGGATCGCTTCGTTCAATTTCAGTATATCTTGCCCTATCGGTGGAAGAACGCATTCTCGTCGTCGCTGTGACACGAGTACCGAGGAGAAAAAGCACAGAACAAGCGTTACACAAGAGGTAAAAACGGAGCATACACAATTGACAATCTTATCATGACGACCTGGTGGCGCCAGATTCTTGGTGCGAAGTTGATTGTAAATACGCCTTAACACATATCGCTAGGTACTATGTATCCACCGAGCGGCCCGGTGGCCCCCGTCTCCCACAAGCCTTCGGATCCTGTCAGGTTTGAGACGTAAGCCGGCCCACCGGGGTGCTGTGCCGGAGGCCCAGAGACACTTGGCAGCGCAGTGTGAAAAGTCGACCCCTGAGCCATGGAGGGCAATTGAGCCGCGGTAAGGAAAGTCGACGGAACCGATGCATTCACATTCATCAGACCAGCTGAGGGAGCCACATGGGAATGATAGGGATTAATTAATCGAACATCGACTCCACTTTGTTCGACATGGCCACTCATAACCATTGGACCAGTAGGAATTTGTCCTGTGAAAGATGGAAGTGTTTGGCCCGCTTGCATGGAACCTGCAAGCAACTGAATAGGCATATTGTAAACCATGGAACTCTGAGGTCCGTAAACATCCGGTATCATCGTATAATTCGCGATAGACTGCTGCTGTGGTAGGGTGTTTTGTGGGAACACCACACGCCCGTGGTATGGCTGTGGAAAAGGGCCCGTGGAGAGCTCATTGTCAGATACAGAGTTGGTTCGGCATGGACTGTCAAGAGACGGTTTTCGCTCCGAGTTTGTTTCCGCAATCGGTAAAGATAGTGTCTTTTGGCTCTCCGGAGATTCCTGTCGATTGTCGGACCCATCGTCGGCCTGTATATCAGCCTGGGAGTTAAGTTTTTCAACTTGCGTCCCTCCTTCCATATTCTGCGGGCTGCATGTAACGGTCGGCGTCGTCTGTTCTTTCTCGGGCGCTGTGGCGGCGATCATAGCTGGGACGGAATCTGAATCCGGCAACTCAGACTTCTGCGGCATGGGCGTGACTGGCGCGAAGATTTCTGACCGCGAAGGGGTCGGATGATCTTGACTTGACGTATCCTTTTCGGCCACAATGTCTGTACTCATAGTTTGGGGTTGGTGGTGAGTCGAGGAATCAGGGTCCATGCCCTTCGGTGGCAAGGACAGTTCATCTCTCCGTATTATAGTAGTATGAGGTCCATTCATGATATATTGCAGCAGCTCCGGGTTTTCTCTGGTGAACTCTTGAGCTGCAAGATACAACTGATCTGATCCTTTTTCGATTAAGAATTTTGTGACAGCGCAGGTGTTGGCCAATAAACCGAGAAAATGACGAAATTGACCGTGGCAGAGCTCGCCCATCTACTCCGCAGAACAGACGGTCAGTAGTTGTCGCATTCAGAACGGATGCCACATACAATGCCCTGGATATCTGCCAGTCTCGACTTTGCCTGTCCACAATTCTGAGCACTGTCCTTAGGCTCATCATTGCTGCAATCTGCCGCCAACTCTGTCACTCTCTCATCATTTGCTAAGGTCATATCCGCTGGAGAATCCGAAACACTCGAAGTTTCCGAGGTGAGAAGACAACGCGTCTGCTGAGTTCGGAATAAATCGCGTGCTCGTGATTTCCGTCCCATCTTGTCGCGTTCCTGTGCTGAGTAATGTTGAACAAAAACGTTCACTAGAGAATCTAACCGAGAAGTGTATATGTGACGAGAAGAAAAAACTTCCAAGATCACACTTAAATACACATTGTAGCGTGCAGTATCATGCTGATCGAATCTAGGTCAACCGCCGGTTCTAGACAGCGCAAGCGGGCGGGAGGACATGTTCGGCCGGTTAGTACGGTGTGTGGGGTGTCCAACACCCGTACCACCACCCTTAGCGCCGCGCGATTCCACTCGAAAGAAATTGCGACCAGTTCAACCAGCCTCAATGGCATCTTTGTGAGGCCTGAAGCGTGAATTGTTGCATGAAACAACTCGGCAAGCAGAGACACGGAGAGATTGCCAAATCAGGGAATTACTCCACCCTGGCCACGGACTGCCGAAAGTCCGATGCAAATATAGCATGTGTCAGCCTTCTGAGGAAAGTTTCCTGTCTGCAGGCCGTATTCGCCTTGCCACCGCGTTAGCTGCAGAAGGTATTCTCAACCGGTGAAAGACCACACTCTCGAGATGGGACTTGCAGATGCACCGAGAAGAAGACGCCGATGGGAAAAGTGGGAGCTGCGCCATTTGCAGACCTGGGTAAAGGAGCAGGATAGGAAAGGTACACGGTGGAAAAACCGAGCGCAGAACTGGTTGAATGACATGGGCACCTGGAGAAGTGCTCCCGCAATCCAGGCGCAGTGGTATCGCCTCAGCCATAGAAGCCCATCCTTTCACGACCGGACGCCCACGCGTAGGGTCCCAGAACTAGCCACCGTGTGTTCCCACACAGCCCTCCCAGTGAAGACAGCTCGCACCGAACAACCATGGTCCGTGCCGAGAAAACACGACACTGTCGTCTTTTCGTCGCCAGTGACCAACAGCTCACCGCCAAGCTCAGATACTGTGTTGTCCTCGTGTAAAGGCGCTGTCGCATTCGAAGATAATGAAATACCCTTGCCCATACAAGAAAGATTTCATTCCTTGATTCAGTTCGGTAACATGTTCGTTTCTCAGCAACGTTTCGTCGCTAACAGAGGCTAGTGGTCACACGCTGGAAACCGCAAGACACATCGCATCTGCGGGAGATCGACAGCAAAGAGAAACAGACACAAGTCAGTCATTATAAGCCAGCGGAGAGCCCAATCCAGTTCTGATGGGACCCTCACATACGACCAAACCATGCTGCGATGGGGATACTTGTGGCATATATTCATGATGTTGCTGCTGTCGGCTTGGTGGGGAAGGAATGAGACGTGTCGTTGCCAACCTTCATGCTTTGTATGATAAATAGAAGCTGCGCGTTTGGATCACTCAGCCTGGACAAAAAAGTGAATTAATGAAGCGTAGCAAGCGATGATCTGAATCTTCTTGTGTGCTGAGCCAATTTGCAAGCTCGAGCAGATTTGGATTTGAATTGACTGTCACCGACTTGTAGAGACCCCACAGAAGAATAATTGGTCAGTCGAACAGACATAGATCAGGCCTGTTGAAGAGATCTGAAAGGTGTTGACATGGAAATTATAGGCTGACAACTCGGTGAAATTGTGCGGGACCCTAGAACTCTGAACGAGATCCCGAAAAGCTAGAAAGAGGAACTTGAGTGATCCCATCGAACAAAACGGACGAGTACAGCGATGGATTTCAGCGATCCGAGATGTTATAATGGTCACGCAATTAATCTCGGCATCTTCAACAGCCGGATGAGAGCCGGGGATTCCTCGTCTGCGGCCAGGGACGGCATGCGCCCCAATGCATGTAGTCAGACGGCCATATAGCCAACAACGCAGTACACTGCGCTATCGTCATGTCTTCGTGCTGTGTGAAAGACGCGTCGACCTGAAGCAATATACCATTCCACTGATATTTGAGACTTGATTCAAGTAATTAGCATCGCGACAAAGTGATGAATGCCCCATCGCCAAATCAATCAAGTGAATCAACACGCTTTCGTGTCCGACGACCCACGAGCTGGCCTAGGCAAGATCGCTGCCTCCATCCTATTCAACGACAGTCGCTTAACGTGCTATCGCCCGCTTCTCCCAAATTCGGGCCTAGTCACTTTCAAATCGATCCAAGGGGAGTCAGAAGACATTTTTGTCGTAAATGCGTCAACCGTGACGCATTGTTGAAGACTAATCCTGCGACGAGGCCCTGCCAGCTCAGCAGCGATACATGCTAGATGATTCTGCCAGGTCTTTGAGCGTATACCGCAGAAACCGCCAAGCACACGTATCAGTAGGGAATTGATCACAGTCATCTAGAGCGCTATGGCTTCGGTTCTTCTGCAGCACTTGAGCAAGAAAAGTAGCTCAATGGACCATAGTGCAAGCATTCAATAAATTTACCGGCATGGGCGCAGAAGAAGACCCCAAGGTGAGGGCAGGGATTGTGAGACAGAAATCTGGGCGAAGGACAACTGAGAAGTGGGAAGGAAGAACATATAAGAAAAAGCAAAAGTCGGAGGGGGGACACGGCTGAAACCTTCGCAGCCCCACCGAGCAAGCCAGTTTCCAGCACAACAGACTTCAGATACGACTCATAGAATCTGGTTGGAGCAGCCTAGGTATTCGTACACACGGAAGTGGGTGAGCGAGAACATTTGACTCAACAAGCAGTATTCAAGACACCTGTGAACTGCGTATGTGTGTAAATTCACGCCCTTCTGATGGTTTCGACCTCCCTTGTTGCATGATTTTCGTCAGCGCTACTTAAATCCCGAACACGTGGTGATCCGGCGGTGTGGTAACAAATGAACCTCGTCACCTAGCCGAATGAGACTTAGTGTTTCCCTATTTAGTCTAGTGCTTTTGCCAAGGGCGTTCCTTTGTTCTTCGAGAAGGTCTATCCTGCGCTAGTCCACCTTGCTAGTGAAATCGCCAAAATCGGCCCATCCAACGAAGGCAAAATGGTAGTAAAGAAGCTGAGATTACGACCTCGATTAGAAACCAACGGCTACGCAGTGTGAAGCAGTCCTGTGTGTCGCGTGCCTTGGAGAGAGATTTCCTATCGTTTTAACAAGACTACATGAGTGAGCAAAGTATTCCAGGCCCAGATACATATATATCTCTGAGAATCCACATGCAAGATGGTTCAATTGCATTCAACGCAAGGGCCAGTTTGAGCTAACATCTCACCTCAGCGTCACTCTGGTGTTTTCACCCGAGATACCCTATCTGAGATCAAACCTCGGATTTGTGGAGGGTTCAGTAAGGGCAATTGGTGAATGTCCTGACCACTGCTGCTGAATCCTGCCATTCTGTCCGATGACGTCACTTATACCGTCACAAACGTGAGGCCCGCCTGTTCCGATCGGACTTCGAGAGGTTTCGCTGCCTTGAGCAGGATTGTGTTTCTGCCACATTTTACATTTTTTTGCTATTGACGAGAGAAAATGCTAGTCGGAATGCACGATGTATTTATGGTGAGAAATTTCTACAAAACCATTTTTCCATCTGCCAAGGATCTTGCCAAGTATGAGACACCACTGCCGCTGAGACATCACTGTTCAGGTGGCGGCACGTCGTCGAGCTAGACCTCGAGAATCCATCCTGTAGGCTGTAAGAATCAGGAAGACTCGCCAAGAAAGATATGATTCTCGTCAATTTCGACTGAGTATGTGGTTTATTGACATCTTTTCCAGGATTCTTGCTCATGCGCCGGGTCTCTGAGCCGATGGGATCCAGATTATCGGCGTCACCGCGGAGAAGCCGTTAAATCCGCTGGCTGTGACCTGGGTGTATGCTACAAAAATCAGCGGGGGTTCCTTTGTACGGGTTGGTAATGGGACAGGTTCCTTACCACCCATTGATGGGAAACATAACCAGTCTCCCTCTTCCACCCGGTAGCAAAGAGAACAGGCGGTCTTGATTTTGTCGGCGCTGCAGCACGTCTGTCCCCATATGGTGTAGACACAGCCATCGCGCGGAACCGAGCGGTCTGAGTTGCCGTTGCAGTGCAGGAGGACTGGGGTGGGAATCGACTTTTCTCCTTCTACTAAGGCGTTCAAGAAGTTCTGGTAGATGCCATCGTTTACGAAGATCTCTGCGTTATGCACCTTGTTTGATGGAGAGGATGCATTGGGCCGACTCCGTATCCCCGTGACACGACACACCAGCGAGAACGCCTCGCTGGCAATGAACCGCCCTGGTTCGGCCATCCATTGCATGCCATTCACCTCGCCAAAGTATTTGGCCTTTGCGGACCGAATGGCTTGTGCGACGCGCCGAAAGTTTGCTGCTGTGAAGCCACCGCCAACGTCAATGGCCGTGATCGCGTGCCGGCTGGCAAGACTGTTGTTGAAGTCAAGCACCTGGCGACACATGGCGATGGCATCGAAATAGGCTGCTGGGTTGGATGCGGCTGAGCCGACATGAAAGCAGATGCCGACGATGCTCACGGACAGGTCACGAGCAATAGCCAGGAGCTTTATGGCTTCCTGGAAGGACATTCCATATTTCTTCGACAGACGGACGCGTGCCGTTGGATCATCGGCTTGAAGTCGTAGGAACACTTTCATGGAGGGAGCGAGCCGAGCAAGCTTGCGTAGTTCCTCCTCGCTGTCGACCACAGTCTTTTGGATTCGCTGCTCGTGGGCATAGAGAATGTGGTTTTCTGCTTTCTGTGGAGAAGCAAAGATGATATCCTCGGGGTCGACCGCACACTGTAGGATCTGCTGCATCTCCTTCTGGGACGCACAATCAAAACCCAAGCCTTTCCCGGCCAAGAGAGCAAGCAAAGTCTTGTTGTCATTGCATTTAACAGCTGAGGAGGTCATCAGCAGTGAGATGTAATTCATAGTCATGGACAGAGGGTCATTGATAGACGAACCGTAGAAGGGTTTGACGAACGGGAGCTGGGTGTTCCACTCGTCTAATTTCTCGACGACGGCGGCGAGGTTGCCAACGAAGAACGATGGTCCATTTTCACCCACTGTTCTTAGGTGGTCTCGCACAACCGATTGTGTCGTATTGCCAACTCTGACGGGTGATAGAGAATCTGCGATCAATGATTCGGACATTCTTAGGTGTATCAAGAGACGCTGGCAGAAGGGTCGTTCCTGTCCTCGGCAGGGTTAGAGGTTTGCGGAAATACTTATAGAATCCGAGGGAGCGCTGACACTAAACCTGTTGAACAGACTCCCAATCTGCAAAGGCCGGCGAAGGAGTTGAAATGAACATTTGGCGCTGACATTCGCGCATGGTCTAGCCTGTGGAACCAAATCTAGCCCGCGAACAATAGCGCGAGTTGAGCACGAGAGACAGGGAGCTTGCATGCTGCATCTAGTGTGTTCCGCCTCATGTGATGCTCCAACTAGAGCAGGTACAAATACCACGGCGGGCGCTAATGGCCAAAAGCTGCAAAGACTCGGCCCTGTCGACCAAGCCGAGTTGTTCTGCAAGCATGCGTGACCAACCAGCCTCGGACATGCCGTCCAGCCGCAAACACCCATCAGAATGGAGCACTTGGCGCTCGTCAATATGGTTCACGGTATTGGCCTGTGGATTCACACTCTTCACAGTATGTCAGATGGAGGACCAGTATGTCACCGTAGTCTAACTAACGCGCCTAGGACACATTTCTTTATTCTATGGTAGGTGTTGCGGCCGCGTGTGAGAATATGCACTCATTATCCAAAGGCTGTGCCCATTTTACCATTCGCCCTAACACAAAAGATCCATATCCCGGAACAGAATGGTATGTGTATGCAAGCCAGAGCTACAACCGCATCCAATCTGATACAAAACCAGTGCAGACTTGGATTTCTATCCTGCTGGCAGTTCACGGTGCAGGTATTGCAGTTGTCTCCCGTGAGTCCTTTTTTGATTCTCTGGCTTTTGTTGTACTCATTCCGACCTTGTCAGCTATCTGTGCGTGGTGGGCCGACAACAGTGCCACTCGAAAATTACCTTACCTGTTTGGACTCCTTGGGCTCTCGAGCGCTACCGTTCTGCTTGCCCTTTCATCTTCCATCACGATGCTCGTCCTCGGTCGGCTACTACAGGGTCTCTCCGGGGCGGTCGCGTGGACGCTGCCTCTGGCAATTGTGACCGACCGCGTGACAGTTGACCAGGTCGGCCCGTACCTTGGGTATATGACCATCGGACGAAGCATTGGGATGTCCACCGGCCCACTGGTCGGCAGTCTTGTGTTTTCCTACGGAGGCTATCTCCAAGCATATATTCCGGCTTTTGTTGTGCTCGGCGTGGACATGATCCTACGACTTACTTTGACCACACGCTCGCAACAGGTTGCGCATTCGCAAGTCTGCCAAGCACGAGCTTCTCAGACTCTCAACCTTCTCACCAGCCGCCGTATGTGGGCAGCCATCTGGGGATCTTTTCAGTCCGCATTCATTTGTGGAGCCTTGGACTCGGTGCTGCCACTGTTTGTACTCCACACCTACGGCTGGAGTTCAATGCAGGCTGGTGGTTCGTTTGTGGCATTGATGGGTCCGTCAATGATTTCACCAATGATAGGAAAGCTTGTTCCACGATTAGGCGTCCGAGTAAGCGCAGTTTGGGGATATCTTGGATCTGCAGTAACACTAGGCTGCCTAGCCCTAGTCAGGAAAGATACGGTCGCTCACAAAACTTCATTCGTCATCGTTCTTATCCTGTGCGGCTGCTCCATGGTTTTCTTCGAGATCGCAGCATGGATTGATGCTGTGACAGCAGCACAAACTAAGGCTGAGAACCAACCGCATTATATTTACCCCGGTGGCGCTATTGCTCAAGTTTACGGGCTAACGAATGTATTGTTCGCACTCGGGTTTGTCGCTGGGCCACTTGGAGCTGGGCTGATGTACCGGCAGTGTGGCTGGACAGCAACGGTCCTGTTGTTGGCATCTATCACGTTTACTAGTGCTATCCCGACAATACTTTGGCTGGAAAGAAAGCCAGAGGTGGAAGAGTTACCTACGGCGTTGCCCGTTGGATCAGTGGTTGAGGCCAAAGAGAGCCTCTAGTATGATAGAGTTTATGTAAGCTAGGTACCTGGTATGCGAATGTCAGATATTGAATCGAGTGATTGCAGGGTTCGAATCTAGGCTAGTAAAACCTGTAGAGTCTCTAAAACCTGACTAGCGTAATCAAAGCCCGAATGCCGAGGCGCCAAAGATCGACGTTTCTATGCCTCTCAGTCGCGTCGAATGCACTAATGACTATAGAGGTAATATGCCAATGGCGGGCCACGATTTGAGTGTCTCGACAGAGTCAGGCTGCAAGTTCACGACCAGCTAACGGACCAGGCCTGAGATCCTAGAATGTGACGTTCAACAGGTCAAGATTCAATTCTCGACTTGCCGAAAGATCAACAGCCCGCCGGGATAGGAGGCCACGCCGCAAAGCGGGACGACGATTTGAATTGTCCGAGTGTCTAAGCAGGGGCAGAAGATACAGTTTCCCAGGGGCATCAACTGGCTGCAAGCGATTGAATTGAACTTTCAACATGCTCAACTCAATCGAACGTGCAGAAATGGGCGAATGGGCGAATGATGAACGTCTTGTCGTTTGCAAGGATGCAATGGTCCACAAATCAATGCTGTGGGGCTGCTTTTCTCTTCATCCGCATTTCGCTGCCGCTAGCCGGTGCAGATGAACGGATGCAATGGTTTAGAGTTGATGCTGCGGGGCCGCGGACAGCCTCATTGGACAAGAGTCGAACTAGCCGACGCCACTAAATTACTTGTTCCCACTGGTGAGCCTGCATGAGTGCAGCTGATGAAAGGCACGAAGGGCAGCGAGTTAGCAGTTGCACGCGGCTTGTCGCTGGCGTATGGACTATGCTTGTGCAGCGTACAGCAATATTGTGCTCGACTGCTGCTGACCTACGGCAAAGCACTATAAATAAAGGAGAGGTCCATCGGCCCAGGCTTTTCGTGTTCGCCTTCTGTTTCCGCCTCCTATTTTTGCTCCTGCATTGATCTTGCAGCCATGGACATGGCCAATCATGACAGAAGTCTATTCACTGGTCACCACGCTTGCTCTTCAACCTCGGGTATGAGACCGTATCCTATCTCTCTCGCAGGTAGTA